GAAAAGTCAGTAAAATGTATTTAAAACAATAACTCCCCACAAAGTTTGCATAACCAACAGCCACATAACTGCTCCCTCGCCACTGAAAACATGAGAAGTGGCCGATTTGTTTAATTTGCAAGCAGGAAGGTGGTAGGGGGCGATGGGGTGGCCCTCTGTGACCCGCTTCTTCTAAAACCCTATTATTGCCAGCTGGTGTGGCTCAGTGGATTGGCATTGTCCCATAGACCAGGGGGTCCCGGTTTTGATTCCCAGTCAGGGCACTTGTCCAGGATGCATGCTTGGTCCCCAATAGGGGGCGTGCGGAAGGTAGCTGATCCATGACACATCAGATGTTTCTACCGCTCCCTCTCGCTTCCTATCTAAAAATCAATACAGCCCTAGCCGGCTTGGTGGATAGAGCATCGGCCTGCGGACTGAAGGATCATGAGTTCGATTCCGGTCAGGGGCATATACCCAGGTTGCAGGCTCAATCCCCATTGGGGGGCGTGCAGGAGGCAGCCGATCCATGATTCTCTCTCATCACTGATGTTTCTATCCCTCTCTCCCTTTCCTTTCCTCTCTGAAGTCAATAAAAACATAATTAAAACAAAAACAAACAAAAAACCAGCCCTATCTGGTTTGGCTCCGGGGATAGAGCGTCGGCCTGCAGGCTAACGGGTCCCGGGTTCGATTCTGGCCAAGGGCACACGCCTGGGCTGTGGGCTCCATCTTCCCAAAGGAGGGGGCGTGCAGGAGGCAGCCGATCAGTGATTCTCTCTCAGCATGGACGTTTCTATCTTTCTCTCTCTCCCTTCCTCTCTGAAATCAATACAATATATATGTAAGTAAATAAATAAATAAAAATTAACCCAAACCTATGAAAACAAACAAAATACCCTGCCCTTGAGCTGAATCCGTTCCAGAAGCAGATTCTGGGCTGCTCTGCCCGTGCCCCTGGAACAGGAAGTGGGCACAGGGGCTCAAGGTTACAGGTAAGGGTAGGGGGTGGCGGGGAGGGGAAGGGGCAGAAGGAGGAGGAAGATGGTGCTGGTTTGCTAACTGATCGGAGCTTAATCAGTAGCTCCTCCGAGAGGTTACATCGCTACAATGTTCTCCCACAGCCCCTTTAGTGACATTGCATTCCTGAGAAAAGCCAAAAAAAGTTACATGCCCTTTGTAGATTTTTGTTTTCTTTAGTGAGAGCGCTAAGTTGCATTTCAGAATAAGTGTCTAGTTAGAGACCGGAGCTGTCCTGTAGATAACAAGAGGGATAACAGTGACTCCCAGAACGCTAAAGCACGCCGGACAGAAGCTGCTTCCTCGTTGAAAGAAAAAATAATAAGAGCCGAAACCGGTGTGGCTCAGTGGGTAGAGCGTCGGCCTGCGGACTGAAAGGTCCCGGGTTCGATTCCAGCCAAGGGCAGGTACATTGGTTGTGGGCACATCCCTGGTAGGGGGTGTGCAAGAGGCGGCTGTCAATGTTTCTCTCTCATCGGCGTTTCTGGCTCTGTCTCTCTCCCTTCCTCTCTGTAAAAAATCAATAAAATATATATGAAAAAAAGAAAAGAAAAAATAATAAGAGCCAGCAGCCACGGAGATGGGGGCTCCGTTCCTTAGGGAATGTGTATGTCCTGCTTTTCCGAGAGGCGATCGGATGTTTAACGACAGTAACCTTAAGGGACTGATGCTAGGCCGTGCCACCTTCTCTCCTCCCTGTCCTGTGCCAACACACACACACACACACACACCACACACATACACACACACGCCACACCCCCACACACACACGCCACACACCACACACCCCCACACACGCCACACACCACACCCACACCCACACACGCCACACGCCACACACACACACACACCACACGCCACACACACACACACGTCACACACCCCACACATACACACACGCCACACGCCACCCCCCCCACACACACACCACACGCCACACACACACGTCACACACCCCACACATACACACACGCCACACCCCCCCACACGCCACACACCACACACATACACACACACACGCCACACCCCCCCCACACACCACATGCCACACACACACACGTCACACACCCCACACATACACACACACGCCACACACCCCCACACACATACACACACACCACACGCCACACACACACACACACACCCCACACACACACCACACGGCACACACATACACACACCACACACACACCACACACATACACACACACGCCACACCCCCCACACACACGCCACACGCCACACACATACACACACACACCACACGCCACACCCCCCACACACACGCCACACGCCACACACCACACACACACACACGCCACACCCCCCACACATACACACACACGCCACACCCCCCACACACACGCCACACACCACACACACACACACACCACACACATACACACCCCCCCACCCCCACACCACACGGCACACACACGCATACACATGCATACACACGCCACACGCCACATACCACACACGCACCCCACACGCCACACACCACACATACACACCACAATACACACACACCACACGCCACACACATACACACACCACATACCACACACACCACACACACGCCTCACATACAACACACAAGTGCGCGCACACATGCCACACGTCACACACATACCACACGCCACACACCCTGTGCGCACACACCACACGCCACACACACACAACATGCGTGTCGTTCCTCCCTGTCACTCTTCCTCCCGCAGCCCGGAGGAGAGCAGAGTTTCCAGCTGAGTTGCTCCCGTCCCAGCAGGTTTGTCAAGGTCGGGCGCACACGGCCGTGGCCGGCCGCGGCCAGCTCCGACTGCATCCTCTGCTCTGTCCTAAGACCCATCTCCTCCTGAGAGGCCGGAGCGGTTTCCCATCTGGAGGAACCACTGGAGACAGCAGCTCGACTCGCTTTTCGTTTTTGTTTTCGGTAATCCTCGCCTGAGGATATTTCCCCGCTGGATTTTAGAGAGAGTGGGAGGGAGAGGTAGAAACAGAGAGAGAAGCATTGATATGAGATCGACACATGGATTGCTGGCCTTCTGCATGTGACCAGGGCCAGGGATCAAGCTTGCAACCAAGGTACGTGCCCTTGACCGGAATCGAACCCGGGAGCTTTCAGTCCACAGGCCGATGCTCTATCCACTGAGCCAAGCTGGTTTCGGCAGCTTTTTTACTTCTTGTTAAATATATTTTATTGAAAAATTTTTTTTTTTTTTACAGAGAGGAAGGGAGAGGGACAGAGAGCCAGAAACATCGATGAGAGAGAAACATCAACCAGCTGCCTCCTGCACACCCCACACTGGGGATGTGCCCGTAATCAGGACACATGCCCTTGACCTGAATGGAACCCGGGACCCTTCCGTCGGCAGGCCGACCCTCTAACCCACATGTGTCAAACACAAGGCCCGCGGGCCAAATCCGTCCCGCCAGGCCTTGCAATGTGGCCCGCACCGCGCTGTCATCACTGCACTCCGCTGCGTTTCCATCACAATGACAGTTGATGACTGTTCAGTAAACCATTCGGCCCGCGATTTAGGCTGGATTTTAGATTTTGGCCCCTTCTCTGATTGAGTTCGACACCCCTACTCTAACCGCTGAGCGACACCGGCCAGGGCCCGTTAGCTCTTTTAGACGGTGAAATGGAATCGAATGTGCGTTCGGTTCAGCTGCCAGTTCTCTATGGACAATGGGAAAACGGACCCAGATTCAGAAAGCAAAGCATACGGGCCATACAGGCCAGATCTTCTGCATTTCCAGCCGCTGTGCCGGACAAGGGACCAGCCCGTCATCCATCCCACACGGGGGCACCGAGCGGCCCACGGGTGTTTATTCCCCGATGCTCAGAGCCGCCAGCCAGTAAGAAACCCACCCTTCCCACGCAGAGGCAGCCGCCGAGGGGAAACTGGAAACCTCAGAGGCCAGGAGGCATTGCAAGCGGGAGAAGAGGGACCTCAGGGCCCACGGGGGAGACGGAGGGCAGAGGCCGTGGCAGGGAGGCCGCTGGGCCGGGTGGAGGGCCAAGGTCCCTCATCGTTCCAGGAAGGAGAAGTCCCGCCCCAACCAACAAACCGCCCTTGTACCTAAAGACCAAGCAGCACCAAGAGGCTTCCAGGAGATCCAGATATGGGACAAGGGATAAGTGTGCAACCAAGTCTGATCTGCATGTCTATTCTTTATATTATTATTGATTTCAGAGAGGAAGGGAGAGAGAAAGAGAGAGAAAGAGAGAGAGAGAGAGAGAGAGAGAGAGAGAGAGAGAGAGAGAGAGAGAGAGAGAGAGAGAGAGATCCATGGGGAGAGAGAATCACGGACTGGCTGCCTCCTCCTGCACACCCCACCCTGGGGATTCAGCCTGCAACCCCAGGCCTGTGCCCTTGACCGGGAATGGAACCGTGACCTCCTGGTTCCTGGGTGGATTCTCCACTCCCAAGCCACCACCAGGGCCGGCCAGGCTAATGCACATTCTTTAAAAAAATAAAAAAGGCACCCAAAGCAAAAGCCAAGCCGAAGCCGGTGTGGCTCAGTGGATAGAGCGTCGGCCTGCAGACTGGAGGGTCCCAGGTCCGATTCCGGTCAAGGGCATGTACCTTGGTTGCGGGCACATCCCCGGTGGGGGGTGTGCAGGAGGCAGCTGATCGATGATTCTCATCTCATCTATCCCTCTCCCTTCCTCTCTGTGAAAAATCAATAAAAAAAACAAATAAAATAAAATAAAAACAACAAAGCAAAAGCCAAGGGAAGTGTGCACCTGGCCCAGAGCAGGTCACCTGAGGTCTTAGCAGCTGGACCTCTGGTTCCTGGAAGCGCTGCCCAGGTAGGTGCTGCTGGGGCAGCCAAGCTCCCCCCCCTCCGCCCCCTCCACCTGGCACGGGGCCGGGGACGGAGGGAGGGAAGCGCGCCCAGCTCCGGGCACTTGGCTGGGTCGCGCGGGGCACAAATTCGTATCCAATCCTCCCGCCCCCCCCCCAACCCCCCAAACCGCCCCAAACACTCACCGTTGCTGGACTTGAGGTCCCGGTGCAGGATGGGCACGGCGGCCTCCTCGTGCAGGTAGAGCATCCCGCGCGCGATCTGCACGGCCCAGTTGACCAGCACGTGCGGGGGGATGCGGCGCGCGGGGCGGGGGCGCGGCCCCGGGGGGCCCGGGGGGCCGGGGCTGGGGGCCCCGGGGGCGGCGTGCGCGGCGGCCAGCGCGCGGTTGAGCGCCCCCCCGCGGGCGAACTCGAGCACCAGGCAGAGGTGCGGCGGCCGCAGGCACACGCCGCGCAGCGCCAGGATGTTGGGGTGCCGCAGCCGCGCGAACAGCCGCGCCTCGCGCCGCACGCTCTCGGCCGCCGCCGCCGCGTCCTGCTCGGGGTCCCGGCGCGCCGCCTTCACCGCCACCTCCTGGCCCTGCCACGTGGCGCGGAACACCTGCCCGAAGCCGCCCGCGCCGATCAGCTCCCGCAGCTCCAGCCGCTCGAAGTCCACGTGCACCGGCGAGCCGGGCCGGGGCGGCGACGGGGGCTGGAGGGGCGACCCCGGGGGCGCGGGCACCGGGGCGCACGGCTGGAGGGGGGCCCCCGGGGGCGCGAACTGCTGGAGGGGGGACCCCGGGGGGGCGCACGGCTGGAGGGGGGACCCCGGGGGGGCGCACGGCTGGAGGTGGGTCCCCGGGGGGGCGCACGGCTGGAGAGGAGACCCCGGGGGGGCGCAAGGCTGGAGGGGAGACCCCGGGGGGGCGCACGGCTGGAGAGGAGACCCCGGGGGGGCGCAAGGCTGGAGAGGAGACCCCGGGGGGGCGCACGGCTGGAGGGGAGACCCCGGGGGGGCGCACGGCTGGAGGGGAGACCCCGGGGGGGCGCACGGCTGGAGGGGGGGCCCCGGGAGCGCGCACGGAGCCACGTAGCTGGCGGGGAAGACGCCCAGGCGCCGCCGCACGCGGCCGGCCCACCAGCCCTCGTCGCCGGACACGGCGGCGTCCCGGGACAGCACCTCCACCAGCTGCCCGCGCCGCAGGCTCAGCTCGTCCTCGCCGCGCGCCTCGTAGTCGAACAGCGCGGCCCACAGCCCCGCGCCCTCCGCGCCCCCCGCGGCTCCCGCCGCCGGGCCGCCGCGCTCCGGGGACCCCGGCCCCGCGGCCCCGCCCTCGGCGCCCGGCAAGGCCATCGGGGTCCGGGGCGCGGGCGGCGCGCTCAGCCTCCGGGGCGGCCGCGGGCGCGCATGGTCCGGCGGGGGGGCCGCCGCGCCCCGGGGAGCGGGGCTCGGGGGCGGCGGGGGATCGCGGGGGACCCCGGCCTCAGCCACCGCTCCGCCTCGGTCGCCGCAGCAGCGGTCCCCGCGCCCGCGGGCGCCGTGGCTCCATGGAGGCGCTGGGCCTGCCGCCGCCTCCCGCCCCGGCGGCCGCCTGCGCCCGCCCCTCCGGGCCCGCCCCCTGTCCCGGGCCGGGCACACCCCCTCCGGGCCGGGCACACCCCTCCGGGCCGGGCACACCCCCTCCGGGCCGGGCACACCCCTCCGGGCCGGGCACACCCCCTCCGGGCCCGCCCCCCGTCCCGGGCCGGGCACACCCCCTCCGGGCCGGGCACACCCCCTCCGGGCCGGGCACACCCCCCCCGGGCCCGCCCCCCGTCCCGGGCCGGGCACACCCCCTCCAGGCCGGGCACACCCCCTCCGGGCCGGGCACACCCCTCCGGGCCCGCCCCCTGCACCAGGCTGGGCACACCCCTCCGGGCCCGGCCCGACCCCCGCACCTGGCCCGCCCCCCGCACCAGGCCGGGCACACCCCCTCCGGGCCGGGCACACCCCCTCCGGGCCGGGCACACCCCTCCGGCCCTCCCCCCCCACCCCCCCGCACCGGGTGGGGCACACGTGGCCGGGGGGCGGGGCCGGCCGGTGGCACCGAGACTGCGGGAACGTTTCAATGAAACCTCATGGCGGGCCGAAACCGGTGTGGCCCAGTGCATAGAGTGTAGGCCTGCGGACTGAAGGGTCCCGGGTTCGATTCCAGTCAAGGGCATGAACCTTGATTGCGGGCACATCCCCTGTAGGGGGCTGTGCAGTGGGCAACTGATTGATGTCTTTCTCACATCGATGTTTCTGACTCTCTATCCCTCTACCTTCCTCTCTCTATATATATATAAAAAAAAATCAATAAAATATATTTTTAAAAAATAGTAAATAAAGATGTGGGTGAAGTGAAGAATAACAACGATCCACGGCACAGCAACACTAAGTTAACAGCCTCGGTCCGGACGGTACGGGTGGCAAAGACTTCGGTCTGTGTGTCTGAGTCCCTGCTGGCGTTCCTGCTGGTAATCGTGAGGGTCAGGATTTCTGTAACTTTAATCGCTGGACGAGACAGGGGTTTCCGGCCCATCTGAGTCTCCCCGTTACCGATGACGGCCGGGGACAAAGAGCCGCTTCAGGGAAGAAAATAACAATGTAATGTCTGAGCGCTCCCCGAAGGCCAAGGCCCTGTTTACACCCCGAAGATAGGCCTCCCCAGGCGAAGCCACAGAGCCGTGACCTTGGCCCCGAGACAGGAAGCTTTGCTCTGCCCGCTGGGTGGCCATTTTTGTACATTTTGTCCTAATCCTGCTCCGTCTTATCTGTCAGGGACTGGACTCTTTTCAAACCCAATGCCTAATTCTCCGGGCCCTGCTAGACCTACTGAACAGAGGACACAAGACAGAGATGATTACCCCTGGCTGGTGTGGCTCAGTGGATAGAGCGTCGGCCTGTGGACTGAAGGGTCCAGGGTTTGATTCCGGTCAAGGGCACATGCCCCGGTTTCAGGCTGGATCCCCAGTAGGGGGCGTGCAGGAGGCAGCTGATCCATAATTATCATCCTTGATGTTTCTCTCTCTCTGTCTCCCTCTCCCTTCCTTTCTGAAGTCAATAAAAATATATTTTTTTAAAAAAAAGAGAGAGATGATTCAGCAACAGAGCAGATCACACTCCTGAGATGATAGTAAATAAACTAGAAACGTTTACTGTTTATTAAGTGCCAGCAGCTTGCTAGTCACATGAGAAAATTGATACAGTAAATGGATGTTTCTGACCTCAGAGTCCAATTCTTGGACTCACGGGTCCCAGTTGACTTTTCCTCTGAGCAGGTGTACTAAGTAATGCTGTTCAATCCCCATGAAGACCAGGGTTCCCTGCATCCCAGCTCTATTTGGGGATGTAACGTCCCTAAACTAGACTGGGACACACAGCAGACGTCGAACTTACACCGGGGACCTTTCCTATAACCCTGTGATCTTGTTTCAACTTTCCAATGTCATGTGTGTGTTGTGTGTGTGTGTGTGTGTGAGAGTGAGTTATTTCTAACCTGTCCTCCAGGGTCACTCATTTGTAAAAAAAAGTTTAGAGAAAGTAATTTAAAGAATAAGCAAGAACAGTTGCCAACAACAACACACACACAATCATACTGGCCTTCACGAGACATGAGCAGTGTCATCGGAGGGGAAAGGGGAGCTGTCACTTGGGGTCCGGCTTTCTGGAGTCTGGAATTCACCCTCTTTGCACAGCCTTTTCCTGCTTCGTAAGACCAGCCACTGGACTGCCTTTCACTGTATCAGGAGCAGCGTGCTGGTGCCACCCAGTGTTACAACAGAGTCAAGACCATTCTGCGCATATATATATATATATATATATATATATATATATATATAAAATTTTTAAAATTGACTTCAGAGAGGAAGGGAGAGGGAGAGAGATGGAAACAATGATGAGAATCATTAATTAGCTGCCTTCTGCACACCCCCTATTGGGGATCGAGCAACCTGGGCATGTGCCCTTGACCGGAATTGAACCCCGAACCCTTCAGTCCGCAGGCTGACGATCTATCCACTGAGCCACACCATCTAGGCAGACCACTCTGCTTTTGCTTATTCTTTCCCCCCAAGGATATGTTGTTATTGATTTTTATAAAGAGAGGAGGAGAGAGAGGAGAGAGAGGGAGAGAGAGAGAGAGAGAGGAGAGAGAGGAGAGAGGAGAGAGAGAGAGGAGAGAGAGGGAGAGAGAGAGAGAGAGAGAAGAGAGAGGAGAGAGAGGGAGGAGAGAGAGAGAGAGAGAGAGAGAGGGGGGGGGAGGGAAATTTGAGAAATTTAAAATTATTCCCCCAGCCGAAACCGGTTTGGCTCAGTGGATGGAGCATCGTCCTGTAGACTGAGGGGTCCCAGGTTCGATTCCGGTCAAGGGCATGTACCTTGGCTGCGGGCACATCCCCAGTGGGGGTGTGCAGGAGGCAGCTGATCAATGTTTCTCTCTCATTGGTGTTTCTTACTCTATCCCTCTCCCTTCCCCTCTGTAAAAGAAATCAATAAAAATACATTTAAAACGGGGGGGGGGCAGGGAGAAAGCAGAGGCTGAAGACAAGTGCCCGGAGGTGTCACCCCTCACCCCAGGGAGAGCTGTGCACGGATGGGGGGGGGGTATGGGGCGGGCGCTGGGCACAGCCTCTGGCGCATCCTCCCAGCGGCCGCGCGGTGCATCATGGGAAAATCCTTCCTCCCGCGGCCATGGCCATGGTGCTCACCTGCCGGGAGGCAGCGGCGGGCTCCGGCGCCGCGGGCCGCGCATCTGGGCAGGAGGGCGGCTCCGGTGGGGCGCGGGGCGGCGGAGGGCGCTGCGGAGCCGGCGGGGGCGCGGCCCCGGGGCAGTGTTAGCGCTGAGCGGGCGCCCCGGGCCTGGGAGCCGCGGGCAGCGGGGGAGGGCGGTCCCCCAGCCCCGGGCCGCGGGCATGGGGTCCCAGGTGCTGCAGCTGCTCCGCCAGGGCGTGTGGGCCGCGCTCACCGGCGGCTGGTACCACGACCCCGAGCACAGCAAGTTCACCAACAGCTGCCACCTGTACCTGTGGCTGTTCCTGCTGCTGCTGCCGCTGGCCCTGCATCTGGTGAGCGAGAGGGGGCCTGAGGCCGGGGGGATGGGATGGAGGGGGGACAGGACAGAGGGGGGACAGGGTGGAGGGGGACAGGACAGAGGGGGGACAGGGTGGAGGGGGACAGGGTGGAGGGGGACAGGATGGAGGGGGGACAGGGTGGAGGGGGACAGGGTGGAGGGGGACAGGGTGGAGGGGGACAGGTTGGAGGGGGGACAGGGTGGAGGGGGGCCTGAGGCCGGGGGGATGGGATGGAGGGGGGACGGGATGGAGGGAGGACAGGACGGAGGGAGACAGGGTGGAGGGGGACAGAGTGGAGGGGGGACAGGACAGAGGGAGACAGGGTGGAGGGGGACAGGGTGGAGGGGAGTCAGGCTGGGTGGAGGGGAGACAGGGTGGAGGGGGATGGGATGGAGGGGGGATGGGATAGAGAGGCAAAAGCTACCCCAGCCGCTGGGTCTGCCTCCTGAAGGACAGCGCTGGCTCTGATACTCAGGAGGTGGGATGGGGAAGTTCAATGATTCTCTCTCATCACGGCTGTTTCTTTTTTCTTTTCTTTTCTTTTTTTTTAAAATATATTTTATCGACTTTTTTACTGAGAGGAAGGGAGAGGGATAGAGAGTCAGAAACATCGATGGGAGAGAAACATCCATCAGCTGCCTCCTGCACACCCCCCACTGGGGATGTGCCTGCAACCAAGGTATATGCCCTTGACCGGAATCGAACCTGGGACCCTTCAGTCTGCAGACCGACGCTCTATCCACTGAGCCACACCGGCTAGGGCTCATCATGGCTGTTTCTGTCTCTCTCTCTCCCCCTCCCTCCCTCCCTCCTCTGTTTTCCTCCCTGAAATCCATAAAAATACATTTAAAAACAACAACAACAACAACAACAACATCCTAAAGAAGTGACTCACCAAGGTCATTGGCTTGGCTGCCTGCACATCCTGCCTGCTGCCCTCCCCTGCCTGCACAGCGGGGTTTGCGGAAAGAGGATGCAGCGGGGCGATGGGGTGAGGGCCCAGCCCCGGGCCTCCTGCAGCCCTTTGATTTGTCCGTTTGAAGCAGGATCCCCCTTCCTGGGCCCCCGGGAAGCGGTGTGTTCTCACCAGGCACCGTGCTATTTATAGCCCGTCCCCGGGGAGCCAGCATGAGTCTCTCCAGGCTGCTCCGGAGATGGAGAGTCATCCCATAGTTATCAATAGGCCTGATGTGGTGTAAAGTGGTGCAGTCACGTGGAAAGCAGGAGGGCGGGTCCTCAAAACATGAATCAGGCCCCACCGGTGTGGCTCAGGGGCTGAGCGTCGGCCTAGGAACCAAGAAGTCAGGGATGGATTCCCGGTCGGGGCACAGGCCCGGGTTGCGGGCTCCATCCCCAGGATGGGGCGTGCAGGGGCAGCATATCCGTGATTCTCTCTCAGCATGGCTGTTCCTCTCTCTTCTCCCCCTCTCCCTTCCTCTCTGAAGTCAATAAAAAAAATATTTTTGAAAAATTAAACAGAATTACCATAGGACTCAGCCATTTCACATCAGATTATATATTTAAAAACAAATCGAGCCAAAACCGATTTGGCTCAGTGGATAGAGCATTGGCTTGCGGACTGGGGGGGTCCCAGTTTCGATTCCGGTCAAGGGCATGTACCTCGGTTGCGAGCACATCCCCAGTGGGGTGAGAGGCAGCTGATCAATGGTTCTCTCTCATCGATGTTTCTAGCTCTCTATCCCTCTCTGTTCCTATGTGTAAAAATCAATACAATATATATATAAAAAGAAAGGTATGCCGAAACCGGTGTGGCTCCGTGGATAGAGTGTCGGCCTGCGGACTGAAGGGTCCCGGGTTCGATTCCGGTCAAGGGCATGTAACTTGGTTGTGGGCACATCCCCGGTAGGGGGTGTGCAGGAGGCAGCTGATGGATGTTTCTCTCTCATCGATGTTTCTAACTCTCTCTCTTTCTCCCTTCCTCTCTATAAAAAAATCAATAAAATATATTTAAAAAAGAAAAGAAAGGGAGACCTATAAGCACGTGACCTTCCCCTTTCTCCTCTCTCCTCTAGGCGCTTCCTCCCAGCGCCTTCGCCGTATTTCTCTACTGCAGTTCAGTGGCTCTGCTCTTCGCAGTAATCAAACTGGTCAGCTACCGCCTGCACCTCATGTTCGATAAAGGGGAAGCCATTCGGCGAAGGCCCTCCCGGAAGAGGGAGAGGCCCAGCAAACACAGAGAGGCCAGCAGCGAGCACACACCGAGCCACAAGACCCCCAGGTAGCACGCTGACTCCGGCGTCGGCGCATCATTTAATCGTTTTCATTTGGATTAAAATATGTAATGATGCTGCAACCTGTTTGGCTCGGTGGATAGAGCGTCAGCCTGCAGACTGAGGGGTCCCAGGTTGGATACAGGTCAAGGGCATGTGCTTTGGTTGCGGGCACATCCCCAGTAGAGAGTGTGCAGGAGGCAGCTGATGGATGTTTCTCTCTCATCGATGTTTCTAGCTCTCTGTCCCTCTCCCTTCCTCTCTGTAAAAAACAAAAAAATCAATAAAATATATTTAAAAAATAAAATAAAATATTTGTTGATTTCAAAGAGGAAGGGAGAGGGAGAGAGAGGTAGAAACATCCACGATGAGAGAGAACCACGGATCGGCTGCCTCCTGCATGGCCAACCCTGGGGATCGAGCTTGCAACTGGGCATGTGCCCTGACCGGGATTCAAACCCTGGGACCTCCTGGTTCACCCACTGAGCCACACCAGCCAGGCACATGTCTAATTTTATTTTATTTTAAAATATATTTTATTGATTTTTTACAGAGAGGAAGGGAGAGAGATAGAGAGTTAGAAACATCGATGAGAGAGAGTTATCGATCAGCCGCCTCTTGCACACCCCCCACTGGGGATCTGCCCGCAACCAAGGTACATGCCCTTGACCGGAATCGAACCCAGGTCCCTTCAGTCCCCAAGCCGACGCTCTATCCATTGAGCCAAACCGGTCTTGGCCACATGTCTAATTTTAAAGTCACGTCTGTCTATGACTCTGTCTTAAAAACTTAATGTGTATGCAATGATCCTGACGCAGTGGCGCCTAGGGGAAAATGGTCCGGGGGGTCCCAGTTCGAACCAGTGTCCCGGTTCTGACGGCTGACTCCTCTGCTCTTGTGTCTCTCCTGCGGGATTAGCCATACCCAGCTGGCCGGCAGCGGCAAGAAGGGCGAGTGCGACCGGAACAGCTGCACGCCTCCCCTGGGCTGCGGCTCTCCAGGCCAGAACTCCAGCTCCCACCGCTCCTCGGGGCTGCCGGTGAGTGTCGGCTCCCCGAGTCCCCTTCCCCGGGGCCGGGAATCCAACCGGGGACCCTTCGGCCCGCAGGCAGAGGCTCTACCCACTGAGCCACACGGCCAGGGCCTATGCTACATTCCTGCACGCACCTCCTCTCTGGCTGGCTGACAGTCTGGGTATGATGAAGGGCCATTCCTAGGAGAGAACTCCCTTTTATCACAGATGGAGGATGTCTCCATGCCGATGATTCTGCATTTTTTTAAAATATATATATATTGTATTGATTTTTTTTTTTTTTTATAGAGAGGAAAGGAGAGAGATAGAGAGTTGGAAACATCGATGAGAGAGAAACATCGATCGGCTGCCTCCTGCACGCCCCCCACCAGGGATGTGCCCGCAACCAAGGTCCATGCCCTTGACCGGAATCGAACCCGGGACCCTTCAGTCCGAAGGCTGATGTTCTATCCACTGAGCCACACCGGTTTCGGCAATTTTGCATTTTTTTCCCCCCCCCATCTTACTGGAAGCATGAGCAGTGTGGCAACGGGATCGTCTCTTCCCCACAGGCCACCGAGCAGGGCGGCGGCTGCTGACTGCCGGGAAGGGGCAGTGAGCTGAGCCGTGTATTGATTGTCCTTCTCTCATTTCTTCAGGAGCTGCCTGCTCAGGAAACCGCCGAAGACCTCAAAGGTGAGTGCCTGTGGCCATCAGTTAGAGTCTCATCACAGCCCGGCCCCCCGCGAAGGGAGAAATGGTGTCGGGAGAGAGAATCCCAGTGAAGTCGTTGGAAATGCCAGCTGTGCCTGAGACGGCATAGTTATCCTTTTACTTCCTTTCTTTTACTCTTCGTTTTTTATTCATTTTATGTTTTATTTTAAAATATATTTTATTGATTTTTTTTTTTTACAGAGAGGAAGGGAGAGGAAGAGAGTTAGAAACAATGATGAGAGAGAAACATCCATCAGCTTCCTCCTGCACACCCCCTACTGGGGATGTGCCCGCAACCAAGGTCCACGCCCTTGACCAGAATCGAACCTGGGACCCTTCAGTCCGCAGGCCGACGCTCTATCCACTGAGCCACACCGGCCAGGGCACAGAGCTGATCTTTTCCCAATAAGCAGCCATGCGCTGTGGCGCTGCTGCTGTTTTCAGCTTGGTTCCCATCAGGTCTCGGCCTGGGCCATTCTCCGTGCGTTTCCGGTGCTAATAAAGTTGCTGTTGTTGTTGGATGGCAGGTGTCATTCTGGCAGACGACCAACCGGTGGTGGCCCCGGCGGCACCCACCCCTCCTGGCGCCCCCAAGGACAGCTCCCCTCCTCGTAAAGCCTCGGTGCCGGGAGCCGGGACCCCACCGGCCGGACGGCCGGAGCCGGGCGTGGCAGGAGAGGACGGCAGAGGGCGGGCCGGAGGGGGCAGGGGGCAGCCCCGTCTCCGCCACCGGTCGGAGGGCGGCCTGGAGCGCCCCCCGAGGGAGCGGCCGCACCTGTCCGCCTCCCACTCGGACCTGCAGGACACGGGCGCTTCCTTCCAGCGGTGGGGGAGCGAGGATTCGGTAACCAAGCATGATGCCCGGGGCCGCGCCGGGGAGCGGCCGCCCCGGGAGAGCCTGAGCCGCAGCTGGCCGCAGTGCCACACCGGCACCCCCCAGCCCGGCGGGCACCCCTTGGAGGACCCCTCCCGCCGGGCGGACCCGCCCTTGAACCTGCAAAGGGACGTCTCCGAGGGCCACCTGGCCGTGACCCTGACGGCCGCCTCTGCGCCCGGGGACCCACGGAGCCCCCCGCACGAGCCGATCAGGATTGTCATCACCGTGAGCAGCGCCCGGGGCTCCACGTCCGACCTGGAGAGCTCGCTCCGCCTGCAGGAGGGCGGCCCCCCCAACCTGGAGCAGAGAATCCCCGCCATCACCCTGGAGCTGCCCGAGGACCGGGGCGCCGACCAGGGGGCCCCCGAGGAGAGGTGGACGGCGGAGGCCCCCGGGGGGGAGCGGGGAAGGCCCGGCCCGGCCAGCCTGGACCCCTCGACGTGCAGGAGCGGCCAGGAGAAGCGGCACGCCCGGGTGCTCAGCATGGACAGCGGCACTGAGGTCCTCCTGAGCAGAGGCCCCGCGGAAGGCGGGCAGGAGAAGGAGCGGGCCATGCCCACGTCCAAGTCCGACCTGGAGGCCAAGGAGGGGCAGGCGCCCAACGACTCCAACTTCCTGGAGTTCGTCTCCCTGCTGGAGTCCATCAGCACGGCCACGGTGGGGGCGGGCGGCCGGAGGCGCGGCCCCGCGGAGCCGGGCAGGGAGGGCCGGCTTCCTGGAGGTGAGTGTGTGTGTTTGTGTGTGTGTGTGTGTGTGTGTGTCCCCGGGGAAGGCGGTGGGGTCTCTCCCTGTTGTCTGCCTCTGCGATTCGGTCTCTGCCTCTGAGATTTTGTGTTGCTCCTGGTGGGACCACTAGGGGGCACTGGCGTCTGCGGAAGGGGCCAGCCCTCACCAGTCCCTGCCTCGGGACAGGACCGAGTCTCCGTGAGCATCAGAGCTTGTGTTTGGAGGAGGCGTGAGGAGAAGCGATGGGTCCGTTTTTATTTTTATTTTTTTAAATTTATTTTTACTTTTAAAATATATTTTTTAATTGATTTTTTTTTTTTTTACACAGAGGAAGGAAGAGAGATAGTGAGTGAGAAACATCAATGAGAGAATCAGTTGCCTCCTGCACACCCCCCACTGGGGATGTGCCTGCAACCGAGGTCCATGCCCTTGACTGGAATCGAACCCGGGACCCTTCAGTCCGCAGGCTGACGGTCTATCCACTGAGCAAAACTGGTTTTGGCATATTTTTATTTTTAAAATATGTTTTATTGATTTTTTTTTTTTTTTACAGAGAGGAAGGGAGAGAGATAGAGAGTTACAAACAATGATGAGAGAGATACATCCACCAGCTGCCTCCTGCACGCCCCCCACCGGGATGTGCCCGCAACCAAGGCACATGCCCTTGACCGGAATCGAACCTGGGACCTTCAGTCCACAGGCTGACGCTCTATCCACTGAGCCACACCAGGTGGGGCCCAAAAATGTATTTATGAAAAATTTCTTTAAAAATATATATTTTATTGATTTTTTACAGTGAGGAAGGGAAAGGGATAGAGATTCAGAAACATTGATGAGAGAGAAACATCGACCAGCTGCCTCCTGCACACACCCCCCCCCCCAACCCCCCCCCCCCCCCACTGGGGATGTACCGCAACCAAGGCACATGCTCTCGACCGGAATCGAACCTGGGACCCTCCAGTCCCCAGGCCGACCGACGCTCTATCCACTGAGCCAGACCAGCCGGGACCCAAACACGAGTTTAAATGTGCTATGAACTCCCGGGAGCCATTCCGAGAGATCCTCTCTGCCCTTGTTTCCGCTTGGGCTGCTTGTGTCCAAACGCTTTCGCGTCCGTTTCCCGGTCCCGTCCCGTATGAACACGTAAAGCCACGCTTTGCAGACCACGGCTCCCAGGAGAGGAAGAGCGAGACCGTGGAACGTGGACGCCGCGCCAAGCAGGGGAAGCCGGACGCGCAGAGCCAGGAGCACGCCAGCCCCAGCCCCGCGCGCACGGAGCCCGCCAAGGTCACGGCCCTGTAAGGACGGCGGCCTGCCTGGCTTCGCCCCGGGGACCGCGGGCGCGCCCCCCGAGCTCTGTGTGAACCCTGTGTGTGTGCGTGTGCGTGTGCGTGTGTGTGCGTGTGCGTGTGTGTGTGCGTGTGCGTGCAGTTTCCAGGGCCACAGGCACAGACAGATCATCTACCGGGTCAGGTCCCAGCAGGACAGCTCCGTCTTGCAGGTCATCAGCGGGCCTGAGACGTCGGGGCCGGAGGAGATGTCCATGGACGCCATGCACGTCTTCATCGACGGCCACGGTGAGCCTGCGGTGCGATGGGACGACGCTCAGCCACCTGAGCCACACAGGCCAGGGCCCACTTTTTAAAAAAAATATATTTTATTGATTCTGTACAGAGAGGAAAGGAGAGAGAGAGAGAGTTAGAAACATCGATGAGAGAGAGGGTCATCGATCAGCTGCCTCCTGCCCACCCCCCACTGGGGATATTATGCCCGCCACCAAGGTGCATGCCCTTGACCGGAATCGAACCCGCGACCCTTCAGTCTGCAGGCCGATGCTCTATCCACTGAGCCAAACTGGCTTCGGCCAGGGCCCGCGTTTTATTCAAGCAGTTCCACACGCGCTCCTTCTAACGTAGCAAAGGTGGAGTTACAGCCGGCACCGGTGTGGCTCAGTGGATAGAGCGTCAGCCTGCGGACTGAAAGGTCCCGGGTTCGATTCCAGTCAAGGGCATGTACCTTGCTTGCGGGCACATTCCCAGTAGGGGGTGTGCAAGAGGCAGCTGGTCGAGGATTCTCTCTCATTGACGTTTCTAACGCTCTATCCCTCTCTGTAAAAAATCAATAAAATATATTAAAAAAAAAAAGAAAGAAAGGCAGAGTTACATTCTCTGCCGGAATGCTGTGTGTTCACAGGAGAAATCCGGTCCTGCTACTTAAAGTCTGGGACTCAGAAAGACGGCCCGGCCCAGCACCAGCCGCCCAGCCACGACGGCCTCTCTCCCGCCGGGTGAGTGAGCTCTGAGCTCCGGGATGTATGGGGTCGGGTGGCGGCTGCTGACCGAGCTGAGGGGGGACGTGGCTGTGTGTGGCCCCTGGTTGGAGTCCGTCTGTGGGTTTCGTGTGGAAAGAGAAGGAAAACCTGGCCCGGCCTGGGCATGGCTCAGGGGTTGAGCTTCGAGTCCCCTCTTCTGCCCCCCCCCCCCCCACCTCCCCAAGCATCGGGGGACTCAGTGGGGTTCAGCTCCGATGGTCACAGTCCCGGCGGTGGCCACTTGGTGGCGCCCAGGCCCCGTGCTGGCGGCCCGGCCGTTATCTCACACGCACAGATGCATGTCTCTGTCCTAACAAAAGCAGAGCTGGCTATTCCCAGACTGTAACACAAGAACCCCTGTTTAAAAGTCTACATAGCAGGCCCGAGTTTTCCAAAGGGTGCTCGCTGCTTTATGGAGGTGCCCTACCCAGTGTGCACGGGGGCTGGGACTCTCCTTTCTGCCTGCCCCCTGGGTGCCCTGCTCCCACATCGGTCCAAGGCCCCCCCCCAGGAGAGCTTGGGACACAAGACAGTAGACAAGGAACCGAGGCCCTCCCCAGGGAGGGGGCGTGCAGGAGGCAGCCAATCCACCGTTCTCTCTCATTAATGATGTTTCTCTCTCCCTCCCTCTCCCTCTCCATTCCCCTCTGAAATAAGTAAAAACATTTTTTTAAAAAAACAACAGAGCCGAGACTGGTTTGGCTCAATGGATAGAGCGTCGGCTTGGGGACTGAAAGGTCCCGGGTTCGATTCCGGTCAAGGGCATGGACCTTGGTTGCAGGCACATCCCCAGTAGGGGGTGTGCAAGAGGCAGCTGGTCGATGACTCTCTCTCTCATCGATGTTTCTAGCTCTCTATCTCTCTCCCTTCTTCTCTGTACAAAATCAATAAAATATATTAAAAACAAACAAACAAACAAACAAACACCAACAGAGAACGTGAAAGCTGTCGCCCTAGACGGCCTTGGGGAGCTCCTGCCCCCCGACAGCTCGGCATTCCCCCCGGAAGTGGCTCTGCACGCACCCTGCCACCCTCCCTGGCCTTGCCGCCCGCAACGGGGTCCCCGTGCTGTGTGTGACACGCTGACCCCGCGCCCAGCAGCGGGTAACCCGGCTCTGTCTCCCCGCCCCCCCCCAGAGACGCCCCGGTCAGCTCCTCCAGCTCCAGCTCAGGGAGCCCCGACCCGTCCTCGGGGGACGCCGCCCTGAGCCCGCTGCAGCAGCAGCTGCTGCTGATGGTGGCGCAGAGGACGCAGCCGGCCAGCCCCCGGGTACGTCTCCCCCCTCTCCCCATCCCTCCCCACCCCTGCCTCCCCCCCCGCCCCGCCCGCCCTCGCTGTGCAGAGCCCCCGAGGACAGGCGTCGGAGCTCTGTGTCCAGCGGGATGCTGGCAGCTTGGGGGCAGGTCTGGCCCGAGTGTGCGGCCCTGGGCCGTGGCCGTGACACTCTATCCGTCCGGGACGCCCCCCACGGGCAACGCAGTCACATTTTGGAAGCCGGCGAGGGAGGCAGAGGTCCGTTTTAAACACGTTGGGTTTAAGAAGGACAGTCTCGCCGAAACCGGTGCGGCTCAGTGGACAGAGCGTCGGCCTGCGGACTGAAGGGCCCCGGGTTCGATTCCGGTCAGGGGCATGTGCCCCAGTGAAGGGGGGGGGGGCGTGCAGGAGGTAACTGATCCATGGTTCTCTCTCATCATGGAGGTTTCTATCTCTCCCTCTCCCTTCTTCTCTGAAGTCAATAATAATAATAATAATAATAAAAACAATAATAATTAAAACAATGAAAGTAAAACAGTAGTATTGTGAAGTGGTGAGCAGACGAGGTGGAAGCGAGGTGCATTGGTTTAGGAACTGTGTTGGTTTACGTTCCAAAACGTGAGCTTCTGCTTTTTTTTTAAAATATGTATTTTATTGACTTTTCTCAGAGAGGAGGGGAGAGGGAGAGAGAGTTAGAAACATCGATGAGAGAGAAACATCCATCAGCTGCCTCCTGCACGCCCCCCACCGGGGATGTGCCCACCACCAAGGCACATGCCCTTGACGGGAATCGAACCCGGGACCTTTGAGTCGGCAGGCCGACGCTCTATCCACTGAGCCACACCGGCCAGGGCGAGCATCTGCGTCTTGCTCTCACACATGACGAGGTGCCTCTTGGGCGGCCGCCCATCCGTGTGAACCATGTGTGTGTGTGTCTCTCTCTCTCCCTCCCTCCCTCCCTCTTTCCCTCCCCCCCCCCTCTCTCTCTCTCTTTCTCTCTCTCTCTCCCCGGCCTGGCAGCACCGGAGCCAGGACCTGGAGGCCTCGTCCTGCTCGTCGGCCCCGGGGAAGTTCAGCCGCGACCAGTTCTACAGGTTCCTTGTCTTCCCCGGCAAGAGGGTCAAGGTCTGGTACGACCGCCTGGCGCTGCTGGCGCTGCTGGACCGGTAAGGGGCCGAGGACACGCCGGCGCGGGGCCGGCTCAGGGCACCCCCGTCGGGGGGTGGGGGGGGGACACGGGTCCCTGAGGTTCTTGGGAACACGCTCAGGTTGCACACGCGTGTGCTGCGAACCCGCCGGCGCAGTGCGATCCGGACGAGGAAAGGCGCGGTCGCTCGGCCGTTAAAATGGGAGGCGTGAGCCGAAACCGGTGTGGCTCCGTGGATAGAGCGCCGGCCTGCGGACTGAAGGGTCCCGGGTTCGATTCCGGTCAGGGGGATGGACCTTGGTGGCGGGCACATCCCCGGTAGGAGGCGTGCAAGAGGCAGCTGGTCGATGATTCTCTCATCAATCGATGATTCTCTCATCGATGTTTCTATCCCTCTCTCTTCCTCTCTATAAAAAAAAATCAATAAAATATATTAAAAAAACAAAAATAATAAAATAAAATAAGACGGGAGGCCGGCCGGCCGGCCGGCGTGGCTCCGTGGTTGAGCGTCCACCTAGGAACCAGGAGGCCACGGTTCGACGGTTCGATTCCCGGGGCACCGGGTCCTCTGCTCGGGGCGCGCGCGGGGTTCTCCGGGGACAGACGGCCAGGCCCCCGCGCCCCTCTGTCGCTGCAGGACGGAGGACGTCAGGGAGAACGTGCTGGCCGTCTCGCTGGTCGTGCTGGTGTCGCTGCTGGGCTTCCTGACGCTGAGCCGCGGGCTCTGCAAGGACCTGTGGGCGCTGCTCTTCTGCCTGGTGATGGCCGGCTGCCAGTACTCCCTGCTCAAGGCAAGCGCCCCCCCTCCCTCCAGCCTCCCCCGCCCCCCGCCGCCCCCTCAGCCCCCTGTCGCTGACGCAGGCCCTTCTGCTTGGCGTTCCAGAGCGTCCAGCCGGACCCCGCCTCGCCCATCCACGTGAGTGTCCGGGGAGACAGGCTGGGGGTCTGCTCTGCTCGGGTGGGAGACAGGGATTGAACGGCCATAGTCTGCTCAGAAGGCAAAAGAGAGCCCGGCCAGCGTGGCTCAGGGGCTGAGCATCGGCCTAGGAACCAGGAGGTCCCGGTTCGATTCCCGGTCAGGGCACAGGCCCGGGTTGCGGGCTCCATCCCCAGGGTGGGGCGTGCAGGAGGCAGCCGGTCCATGGTTCTCTCTCATCATGGATGTCCCTCTCCTTTCCCCTCTGAAGTCAATATATACGTGTGTGTGTGTGTGTGTGTGGCCCTATCCACTGAGCCAAACCGGTCAGGGCAGGGCCCTGGTTTCCATTTCTTAATGCTGAGACGGAATTCCCGCCCCCATTCATCTATGACCTACTCAGGATTCAAGAGGAAATTTCACACGCGCGCAGCTATTCCGTGAGGACCAAGCCGGGACTCTGGGCCAGGCCTCGCCAGCCCCCCACGGACAGCCTGCCCCCACCCCCTTCCTATCAGACGGTGGTCTCGGAATAGGGCTGCTGCTGCGACAGCGGCGGCCGCGGTTTAAATTGCGTTTCTAAATGTAACACGCTCGAGGCAGCATCTGAAAACCCACGTCTGAAACCCCATCGCTTTCGTCTCTCCTTGTTATACGCAGAGCGGCTCATGGATTGCAAAACTATTCCCCCTGCCTCATTTAAAAAAAATTTACATATATTCAATATATATATATGTTTTTGTTGGTTTCTAGAGAGAGGAAGGGAGGAGAGAGAGATAGAAACATTCATGATGGGAGAGAATCATATCAATAGATCGGCTGCCTCCTGCATGCCCCCTACTGGGGATCGAGCCTGCAACCTGGGCCTGTGCCTTTGACGGGAATCGAACCTGGGACCCTTCAGTCCGCAGGCCGACACTCTATCCACGGAGCCAAACCGGCTCTAGGGCTTCCAAAGACCTGGGAAAAGGTAGCCCACAAGGTGCAATTCTATTTCCTACGAATAGTAAAGCTCTGCATAGACCATGCAGTTTAAGCTCCTGGTAAATTTGCAGAATCCGAGAGGGCAGACATACATGCTTTTCGATGTTCTTATAAAACAGAATCAGCATCCTTCCCCTCACCACCACCCCTTTTCCCCCCGGTGTTTCACCTGTATGGGTTATGGGAGGGCTGAGGGGGATGCGTTTTATGGTGTAGGTCATCTTATATGGTATAAGCCCGCGGTCGGCAAACCGTGGCTCGCGAGCCACCTGCGGCTCTTTGGCCCCTTGAGTGTGGCTCTTCCACAAAACACCACGGGCTGGGCGAGTCTATGTGGAAGACGTGGCGTTCGAAGAAGTTTACGTTTAAAAAAATGTGGCTCTCCAAAGAAATTTCAGCCCTGACCGGTGTGGCTCAGTGGATAGAGCACTCGGCCTGCGGACTGAAGGGTCCCAGGTTCGATTCCGGCCAAGGGCATGGACCTTGGTTGCGGGCACATCCCCGGTGGGGGGTGTGTGTGTGTGTGCAGGAGGCAGCTGGTCGATGTTTCTCTCTCATCGACGTTTCTAGCTCTCTATCCCTCTCCCTTCCTCTCTGTAAAAAATCAATAAAATATATTTTTTTTTTTAAAAAGAAGAAATTCCGATCATCGTCCTGTTGACAGTTGGCTCTGTGGGCTCCTGAGTTTGCCGACCGCGGGGGCCAGCGATGGGCTGCGGGAATCTCGTCGTGTCGTCGGGAGGAAAGGTGCCATCCTCCGGACGCTGTGTTTGTCTCCTAGGGCCACAACCAAGTCATTGCGTACAGCAGACCAATCTATTTTTGTGTGCTGTGCGGCCTTCTTTTGCTTCTCGATGCAGGGGCCAAGGCCAGGCACCCCCCCGCCTACGCCAAGTACGGCCTGACGCTGTGCTCACCGGAGTCACTCCAGTCCGCCAGGGACTTCCTCCTCGGTGAGCGTCTGGGGGTGGGGGGTGTGGGTGGGCGGGAGTGGGGGGGGCCGGGGGGGTGTGTGTGCCGGAAACCAATCGTTGTCTCGCTAATAGAAAGAGGCTGGTCAGCCTCGAAGCTCTGAGAGGTCAGAGCCAACCACTCCCTCTCTAATGGAGACCATAGTAGCTGAGGCAAGGTCCCCATCTTGTAATCATGTCAATCCTCACCGATAGGATAATCTGCGTATTCCCTGCCTGAGGGCTATGGGTGTTTCCCAAAGCTGCTTCAGGGTACTGGGTGTATCCCATAGCAGCCTCCATAAAAGGGACAGCAAGGCCAGAGCCTAGAGGGTCTTCCCACTAGAGGTGGACGCCCGCCTGGCCCCCCATTTGTCCCAAACTAACTCTTTTCCAGTCTCTCTCTTCCTTTCAGTGTGCGGCCTCCTCCAGAAACCGGACCCTGAGTGGGCCCTGAACCACGCGGGCCGCGTTAAGGGTTCCCAGGGGCGGGGGGCCTGGCCTCCCTTTCCCTCCTGAGAAACGCCCCGGTGGGAGGGACTGCCCCACTCGAGGGAGGGCCTGGGGCGAATCTGTGCATTTCCCTCTGGGCTCGCCCGCCTGTGGGGGCACCATGGGTGCCGGGACCCCAGAGCCCCCAGTGCCCGATCATTCTTGGTCCCAGGTGGCGTGGCTTGGGGGTTGAGCATCGACCTACGATCCAGGAGGTCGCGGTGTGATTCCCGGTCAGGTGGACGCTCGAACCCTGAGCCACGCCGGCCGGGCTGTATGATTATTTATTCACCAGAGGCCCGGTGCACCAAATTCCTGCAAGAGCCGGCCTTCCTGCCCCCGGCACCGGCTTCCCTCTGGCACCGGGACTTGGGATTGCTCCCTCCGGCCGCCGGCAAGCATCCGGGACCCGGGCTTCCCTCCAGCCCCGGCCTCGTCCGGAAAATGTTTGGAAGGACGTCCGGTCCAATTAGCACACTACCCTTGTATTATGATAGATCATTGCGTTATTTTTTAAAATATTTTATTGATTTTTTTTTTTTTTTTTTTTTTTTTTTTTACCGAGAGGAAGGGAGAGGGATAGAGTTAGAAACATCGATGAGAGAGAAGCATCGATCAGCTGCCTCCTGCACGCCCCCCACTGGGGATGTGCCCGCAACCAAGGTCCATGCCCTTGACTGGAATCGAATCCGGGACCCTTGAGTCTGCAGGCCGACGCTCTATCCACTGAGCCACACCGGCCAGGGCCGTTGTGTTATTTCACAGCCCACGTACCTCGGCGGGAGGCCCTACCACCGCCACGGACAGACGTGGCCCTCTGTGGGCCAGAATGCCATCGTCTGGCCTGCGAGGGTCGTTCAGACCTCGCCACTGAAAACAGGGCATCGAATTCCCCGTGTGCGTCCACCTGTGACCGCGTGGTGCCGAGCCACGGCCCACGTCTCACTGCCACGCCCCCCCCCCCTTTTCCCCACCAAACGGGCCCACGCTGTTCGCGAGACAGCGACACGGAAATCTCCGTCCCTGCAATTCCACCGGAAAGCCCGCATGTCTGAGTTTTCAGCGAGAACGAAACGCCGTCCTCCCCCCACTCCCCCTCCCCCTCCCCACCTCACACCCCCCTCCACCCTCGGCCTCCCCTCCCGCTGTGGACTAGTAGATGTATAGGGTTTAGACATAATCCCAGTGTTTGCCGTATTGGGTTTCAAATCTAATTTCCTTTGTTTTATTGAGGATTACCAGGATCCAGCCCCATTGGCATTCTATCCAGAGTACACTGGAAGACAGAGAGCCATAGCATTGCTAAGAGAGAGAGAGAGGGAGGGAGGGAGGGAGGGAGAGAGAAAAACATCAATGATGAGAGAGAGTCGTGGATCGGCTGCCTCCTGCAGAGAGAGAGAGAGAGAGAGAGAGAGAGAGAGAGAGAGAGAGAGAGAGAGAGGGAGAGAGAGAGAAACATCCATGATGAGAGAGAGTCGTGGATCGGCGGCCTCCTGCATTCCCCCCACTGGGGATCAAGCCCACACCCCGGGCCTGTGCCCTGACCGGGAATCGAACCCGGACCTCCTGGTTCCCAGGCCGATGCTCAGTCACTCACCGCCCTCTGTCTGCCCGCAGGGTTTCTGTATTGCTTCCCCGCCATCTCCCTCCTGGGCCTCTTCCCGCAGATCGACACGTTCTGTGTTTACCTCCTGGAGCAGATCGACATGCTGGTCTTCGGCGGCTCTGGTACGTTCCCTGGTCCTCCTCCTCCTCCTCCTCCTCCTCTTCACCCTCCCCCTTCTCTTTCTCTTCTTCCTCCTTCTCTTCCTCCTCCCTCTCCTCCTCCCTCTCCTCTCTCTCCTCTTCCTCCTCCTCCTCCCTCTCCTCCACCTCCTCCTCCTCCTTCTCCCCCCCTCCTCTTTCTCCTCCTCCTCCCCCTCTTCCTCCTCCTCCTCCTCCCCTCCTTCCCCTCCTCCTCCTCCTCCTCTCCTCCTTCTCCTCCTCCTCCCCCTTTTCCTCCTCCTCCTCCTCCCCCTCCCTCTCCTTCACCTCTCCCTTCCTCTCCTCCTCTTCCTCCTCCCTCTCCTCCACCTCCTCCTCCTCCAGGTCCGAGGTTCAGGTCCTGGAACTCCCGGGCCTGGGCAGGCGGGTGGCTTCTCGCCCTGAGCCCCTGACCTGCTTCAGGCCGGCTCTGTCAGGGGTCTCCCAGCCAAGCCGACAGGGGCCACCTGGCCGGGCCGGCCGGCGGGAGCCCGGGAGGGTGGGCTGCGGTGCAGGAAGGCGCTGTGTCTGTTGCAGCCGTGTCTGGCATGACCTCGGCCGTGTGCAGCGTGGCCCGCAGCGCGGCCGCCGCCTGCGCCCTGCACGCGCTCTGCTTCAGCGCCGTGAAGGTAGGTGCGGCCCCCGCCTGCCCGGCCCCCCGCCTGCCCGGCCCCCCCGGCGCCCCGGCCCGGACCCAGCGGTGGCCTCCCCGCAGGAGCCCTGGAGCACCCAGCACATCCCCGCGCTGTTCTCCGCCTTCTGCGGCCTCCTGGTCTCCCTGTGCCTCCACCTGAGCCGGCAGAGCAGCGACCCGGCCGTGCTCCTGTGAGTGACGCCCCACGCCAGGAACACGCCAGGAACACGCCAGGAACACGCCAGGAACATGCCAGGAACACGCTCCACACTGCAGCACAAGCACTGAGCTCACACACACACACACACACACACACACACACGCCCTGTGCTGGGACACACACCTTGTACACGCCTGTGCTGTGACATGCACACACCTGTGAGTCACACACACACACACACACACACTGCGCGTGGGCCCCTGCAGCCTTGCTCTCACGGCGGGGGGCGGGGGGGGAGGGAGCAGAGACAGCGGCTCAGGGCCAGGGGGTCGCACCCTTCCTAGCCGTTCCCTGGGCGAGGCGGGCAGGGGGGAGGGGGGATTGCAGGCTGGCCAGAACCCCCTGAGCTGCCAGCACACCTTCCAGGCCTCTGAGCTCCCGAGTAAAGCACACGAGGCAGGGGTGCAGGGGTGCGGGGATGGGGGGGTACAGGGGTATGGGGAGGAGGGAGGGGTGCAGGGGTGGAGGAGGGGTGCAGGGGTGCGGGGATGGGGGAGGGGCGCAGGGGTATGGGGAAGAGGGAGGGGTGCAGGGGTGGAGGAGGGGTGTAGGGGTGCGGGGATGGGAGAGGGGTGCAGGGGTATGGGGAGGAGGGAGGGGTGTAGGGGTGGAGGAGGGGTGCAGGGGTGCGGGGGTGGGGAGGCAGGTGCAGGGGAGCCTGCAGCCTGAGCCTGCCCCGCTGTTCCCGTGGGCGAGCATCTGAGTAGCACCCGCCCCAGCCTGGACCCTCTCTGCGCCCGTCTGTGAGCGTGGGGTCCACGTGGAGGCCAAGGCCACGGCCACGGCCACGACCACAGGTTCCCATCAGCCAAAGGCGCGTGTCTCCCCCGCCAGGTCCTTCATCCGGGGCCGATGGTTCCCCCGGAGCTCCCCCCGGGACCCCGCGGAGCCGGCTGAGGACCCGCTCCCGGGGAAGATGCGGGACTCGGTGGTGAGACACGCTGCCGGGCGGCAGCCGGGCACCGCATGGCATGCTGGGAGGCACCCTGGCACGGCCAGGCCAGGGCCCGTGGCACGATGGAAAGCCGTCCCGGGAGGAAAGTTCACTCCGATGAGGACTCACAAACAAACCAACAAACAGACGAAAAATAAAACAAAACAAACCCCTAAAACTCTGAATAAAATACAAATACGTCCTTCCATGTGACCAAAAAAATAAATAAATAAATAAATTGCCAAGATACTAAGGAATCACCAGGTTAAAACCTGGGGGGAGCAGAGCAGGCTGCTGCCCTGGCCTCAGGGCCATCGCCTGCCCTGGGGTGGACCTTGACCTCGGACGGGGGCGGGGGAGGGCAGCGGAAGCCAGGCCGGTGCCTCTTGCCCGTCGAAATGCCAGCGGGGGCCTGTGTCTGTAAGCCTCGGACCCGAGCGGGAAACCCCCTTCTCTCCTGGTTAGCGGACGAGGGCGAGCCCGGCAGGTCCTTCCCCGGGTCCCCCGCCCCGGTCTCCCCGATGCCCCCCGGAGGGAGGTCCTGGAGGGTCCATCCCGCGCCTGCGGCCGGCGGGAAGCTCGTCGGGGTCCTGAGTGGCCTGGGGACGGGGTTGTCGGGGGAAACGCGAAGGCAGGACCCCAGCGGCCACTGTCCCCGCAGAAGGCCGTCCTGCGGTCGGACCTGCTCCTGTGCCCCCTGGCCGCCGTGCTGTCCTTCGCGGTGAGCGCCAGCACCGTGTTCCTGTCCCTGAGGGTGCGTGTCCCCCGCTGGTCCCGCTCCCCATGGCGGGTGGGCCCGAGGGAGGCGGCGGGGCGGCTGGGAGGCCTGAGGGGGATGTGAGGCCTGAGGGGGTGGGCGGGGAGGGGTTTCCAGCTGAGGTTTGGCTTCTTTTTTGGGGGGTGGGTATTCCTCACTCAAGTTTTTCCATGGATTTCTTTTTTAAAATATACTTTATTGATTTTTAAAAATATATATATTTTATTGATTTTTTTTACAGAGAGAAAGGGAGAGATAGAGAGCTAGAAACATCGATGAGAGAGAAATATCGACCAGCTGCCTCTTGCACACCCCCTACCGGGGATGTGCCCGCAACTAAGGTACATGCCCCTGACCGGAATCGAACCTGGGACCTTTCAGTCCGCAGACCGATGCTCTACCACTGAGCCACACCGGCTTCGGCTTTATTGATTTTTTTACAGAGAGGAAGGGAGACGGATAGGGAGCTAGAAACATCGATGTGAGAGAATCATCCATCAGCTGCCTCCTGCACACCCACTACTGGGGATGTGCCCGCAACCAAGGTCCATGCCCCTGACTGGGAATCGAACCGGGGACCGCCTGGTTCCTAGGTCAATGCTCAGCCTCGGAGCCACGCCCGCCAGGCAGTTTTGTTGTTCTTCAATCTTTTTATTTTATTTATTTATTTTAATAGATTTTATTGATTTTTTTTTTACAGAGAGGAAGGGAGGAGAGTTAGAAACATCGACGAGAGGGAAACATCGATCAGCTGCCTCCTGCACACCTCCTACTGGGGATGTGCCTGCCACCAAGACGCATGCCCTTTCCTGGGATCGAACCTGGGACCCTTCTGTCTGCAGGCCGACGCTCTATCCACTGAGCCACACTGGTTTCAGCAATCTTTAAAAAAAAAAAAAATATTCCGTGGTCAGAACTCTCTGGGCCTCTCGACTTGCTCAGCCTGTTCTCTGCCCCCCTTTGTGGCTCTGGGTGGCTCTGAGCACAGAGATGGGGCTCGTGGCGACGACGAGCAGGTCCGAGGCCTGAGGCGAGGCCTGAGCTTGTGTCTGAGCTTGAACGGGGGACGGGGAGGCTGGTGGCCCGGCCCCCCCCGGGCGGCCGGTCTCACGGTCCCGCCCTCCGCCCCGCAGCCCTTCCTGGGCCTGGCGCTGTTCGCCGTGGCCGGCGCCGTGGGCTTCGTGACCCACTACCTGCTCCCGCAGCTGCGCAAGCACCACCCCTGGATGTGGCTGGCGCACCCCGTGCTCCGGGGCAGGGAGCACCGGCAGCGGGAGGTGACGGGTGAGTGGTGGCCGGGGCCGTGCCTCCGGCCTCGGGTGTCCCCCCGAACACAGTGCGTGTCTCCGTGAGGCCGTGAGGCCGGGGCGGGCGGCATGGCGGGAGGAGGCGGCTGTCCTGTCCGCTGGGGCTCAGACCAGAGGGAGGCGGCGGCTGCTTCTGCATCCTGTCCTGAACGTCAGCGTGCCCGGCGTCTGACAGTCCGATCACACCCCCCTGTCCCCCACCACAGCCCCATCCCCGGGGACCCAGGGCCTCTACCGCTAGCAACTACCAGCTAATCAAATGTTCCCTTTAAGTCGGCGTTTCCCCGTCAGCGCTGTGGGTGAGGGTGGCTTCTGTTGCTCTCAAAGTACATACGTATTTAAAATATATATATATATATATATATATATATATATATATATATATATATATATTTTTTTTTTTTTTAATTGATTTTTTTTACAGAGAGGAAGAGAGGGGGATAGAGAGTTAGAAGCATCGACCAGCTGCCTCCTGCACACCCCCTACTGGGGGTGTGCCGGCCACCAAGGTCCGTGCCCTTGATGGGATTTGAACCCGGGACCCTTGAGTCTGCAGGCCGACGCTCTGTCCACTGAGCCACACCAGCCAGGGCTGTCCACGCATTTTCTAAGGGGCCGCATTGCACTGGCTGTGACACCGCCGCGTCCTGTGAACTGAGAACTCTGGAGAAGCCTTGCCTTTTAGGGGATGCGCCAGTGAGAGCGGCCGGTTTTGTAACCCACACGGTAGCTCTCACAGCCTGCCGTCTGCTTCCTCTTCGTCCCATTTCACCCTCCCTGGGCCCCCAGCCCCTGAAACGGGAGGAAATAAAAACAGATGTTTCGCCAAAACCGGTGTGGCTCAGTGGATGGAGCGTCGGCCTGCGGACTGAAGGGTCCCGGGTTCGATTCCGGTCAAGGGCATGGACCTTGGTGGCCAGCACATCCCTGGTGGGGGGCGTGCAAGAGGCATCTGGTCCATGTTTCTCTCTCATGGATGTTTCTAACTCTCCATCCCTCTCCCTTCCTCTCTGCAAAAAATCAATAATATATATATATATATATATATATATATATATATATATATTTTTTTTTTTTTTTTTAAATTTATTATTATTTTTTTTAATGGATGTTTCCTGAGCCCGCCTCCAGAGCGGGAGGCATCTGCTGGGCCACTGCTTGTGTGGCTGCTCCCTGCTCCTGCTTTTGGATTAAAGGGGATGGAGGGGGTAATTGCTTATCAGGCGGAATTAAAGGGGAGGGGTATTGTTTATTAAAGTGAATTAAAGGGGGGGTAATTGCTTATCAGGCGGAATTAAAGGGAGGCACTGCTGGCGTCCCAGCGCCCGGAGACAGATGCCTGGAGACAGATGGGTGACGGGCGCCCCGGGGGGCGGGTGTCTCCGCAGAGGCCGCCCACGTGATGTGGTTCGAGCGGCTGTACCTGCGGCTGCAGTGCGTGGAGAAGTATGCCCTGCACCCCGCCATCGTCCTCAACGCCCTCACCCTCGACGCCTTCGCCATCAGCACCTACCGGCGGCCGGGCACCCAGTGAGCGCGGGAGGGGCACCCAGTGAGCGCGGGAGGGGCACCCAGTGAGCGCGGGAGGGGCACCCAGTGAGCGCGGGAGGGGCTGGCTCTCCTCCCGTTGGGCTCACAGCCTTGGCAGGACCAAGCGAACCTCCTCCGGACTGGAGGTCGGCGTCATGGGGGTCTGTCCCCACCCTGCAGGGCACAGAGCGGGCACAGAGCACAGAGCACAGAGCGGGCACAGAGCTCAGAGCACAGAGCACAGAGAGGGCTCAGAGCACAGAGCAGGCACAGAGCACAGAGCGGGCACAGAGCACAGAGCGGGCACAGAGCGGGCTCAGAGCACAGAGCGGGCACAGAGCACAGAGCGGGCACAGAGCTCAGAGCGGGCACAGAGCTCAGAGCGGGCACAGAGCACAGAGCGGGCACAGAGCGGGCACAGAGCTCAGAGCACAGAGCGGGCACAGAGCGGGCACAGAGCTCAGAGCGGGCACAGAGCACAGAGCGGGCACAGAGCACAGAGCGGGCACAGAGCGGGCTCAGAGCACAGAGCGGGCACAGAGCACAGAGCGGGCACAGAGCACAGAGCGGGCACTGAGCGGGCACAGAGCACAGAGCGGGCTCAGAGCACAGAGCGGGCACAGAGCACAGAGCGGGCACTGAGCGGGCACAGAGCACAGAGCGGGCTCAGAGCACAGAGCGGGCACAGAGCTCAGAGCACAGAGCACAGAGAGGGCTCAGAGCACAGAGCAGGCACAGAGCACAGAGCGGGCACAGAGCACAGAGCGGGCACAGAGCTCAGAGCGGGCACAGAGCGGGCACAGAGCTCAGAGCGGGCACAGAGCTCAGAGCGGGCACAGAGCGGGCACAGAGCTCAGAGCGGGCACAGAGCTCAGAGCGGGCACAGAGCTCAGAGCGGGCACAGAGCGGGCACAGAGCTCAGAGCGGGCACAGAGCACAGAGCGGGCACTGAGCGGGCACAGAGCACAGAGCGGGCTCAGAGCACAGAGCGGGCACAGAGCTCAGAGCACAGAGCACAGAGAGGGCTCAGAGCACAGAGCAGGCACAGAGCACAGAGCGGGCACAGAGCACAGAGCGGGCACAGAGCTCAGAGCGGGCACAGAGCTCAGAGCGGGCACAGAGCGGGCACAGAGCTCAGAGCGGGCACAGAGCGCAGAGCGGGCACAGAGCGGGCACAGAGCTCAGAGCGGGCTCAGAGCACAGAGCGGGCACAGAGCACAGAGCGGGCACTGAGCGGGCACAGAGCACAGAGCGGGCTCAGAGCACAGAGCGGGCACAGAGCACAGAGCGGGCACAGAGCTCAGAGCACAGAGCACAGAGAGGGCTCAGAGCACAGAGCAGGCACAGAGCACAGAGCGGGCACAGAGCACAGAGCGGGCACAGAGCTCAGAGCACAGAGCGGGCACAGAGCGGGCACAGAGCACAGAGCGGGCACAGAGCACAGAGCGGGCACAGAGCACAGAGCGGGCACAGAGCGGGCTCAGAGCACAGAGCGGGCACAGAGCACAGAGCGGGCTCAGAGCACAGAGCGGGCACAGAGCACAGAGCGGGCTCAGAGCACAGAGCGGGCACAGAGCACAGAGCGGGCTCAGAGCACAGAGCGGGCACAGAGCACAGAGCGGGCACAGAGCACAGAGCACAGAGCGGGCTCAGAGCACAGAGCGGGCATAGAGCACAGAGCGGGCACTGAGCGGGCACAGAGCACAGAGCGGGCTCAGAGCACAGAGCGGGCACAGAGCTCAGAGCACAGAGCACAGAGAGGGCTCAGAGCACAGAGCAGGCACAGAGCACAGAGCGGGCACAGAGCACAGAGCGGGCACAGAGCACAGAGCGGGCACAGAGCGGGCTCAGAGCACAGAGCGGGCACAGAGCACAGAGCGGGCACAGAGCTCAGAGCGGGCACAGAGCTCAGAGCGGGCACAGAGCGGGCACAGAGCTCAGAGCGGGCTCAGAGCACAGAGCGGGCACAGAGCACAGAGCGGGCACAGAGCACAGAGCACAGAGCGGGCTCAGAGCACAGAGCGGGCACAGAGCACAGAGCGGGCACAGAGCACAGAGCACAGAGCGGGCTCAGAGCACAGAGCGGGCACAGAGCACAGAGCGGGCACAGAGCGGGCACAGAGCTCAGAGCGGGCACAGAGCTCAGAGCGGGCACAGAGCACAGAGCGGGCACAGAGCGGGCACAGAGCTCAGAGCGGGCACAGAGCTCAGAGCACAGAGCGGGCACAGAGCGGGCACAGAGCTCAGAGCGGGCACAGAGCACAGAGCGGGCACAGAGCACAGAGCGGGCACAGAGCGGGCTCAGAGCACAGAGCGGGCACAGAGCACAGAGCGGGCACAGAGCACAGAGCGGGCACTGAGCGGGCACAGAGCACAGAGCGGGCTCAGAGCACAGAGCGGGCACAGAGCACAGAGCGGGCACTGAGCGGGCACAGAGCACAGAGCGGGCTCAGAGCACAGAGCGGGCACAGAGCTCAGAGCACAGAGCACAGAGAGGGCTCAGAGCACAGAGCAGGCACAGAGCACAGAGCGGGCACAGAGCACAGAGCGGGCACAGAGCACAGAGCGGGCACAGAGCGGGCACAGAGCACAGAGCGGGCACAGAGCACAGAGCGGGCACAGAGCGCAGAGCGGGCACAGAGCTCAGAGCGGGCACAGAGCGGGCACAGAGCTCAGAGCGGGCACAGAGCTCAGAGCGGGCACAGAGCGGGCACAGAGCTCAGAGCGGGCACAGAGCACAGAGCGGGCACAGAGCACAGAGCGGGCACTGAGCGGGCACAGAGCACAGAGCGGGCTCAGAGCACAGAGCGGGCACAGAGCACAGAGCGGGCACAGAGCTCAGAGCACAGAGCACAGAGAGGGCTCAGAGCACAGAGCAGGCACAGAGCACAGAGCGGGCACAGAGCACAGAGCGGGCACAGAGCTCAGAGCACAGAGCGGGCACAGAGCGGGCACAGAGCTCAGAGCGGGCACAGAGCACAGAGCGGGCACAGAGCACAGAGCGGGCACAGAGCGGGCTCAGAGCACAGAGCGGGCACAGAGCACAGAGCGGGCTCAGAGCACAGAGCGGGCACAGAGCACAGAGCGGGCTCAGAGCACAGAGCGGGCACAGAGCACAGAGCGGGCTCAGAGCACAGAGCGGGCACAGAGCACAGAGCGGGCACAGAGCACAGAGCACAGAGCGGGCTCAGAGCACAGAGCGGGCATAGAGCACAGAGCGGGCACTGAGCGGGCACAGAGCACAGAGCGGGCTCAGAGCACAGAGCGGGCACAGAGCTCAGAGCACAGAGCACAGAGAGGGCTCAGAGCACAGAGCAGGCACAGAGCACAGAGCGGGCACAGAGCACAGAGCGGGCACAGAGCACAGAGCGGGCACAGAGCGGGCTCAGAGCACAGAGCGGGCACAGAGCACAGAGCGGGCACAGAGCTCAGAGCGGGCACAGAGCTCAGAGCGGGCACAGAGCGGGCACAGAGCTCAGAGCGGGCTCAGAGCACAGAGCGGGCACAGAGCACAGAGCGGGCACAGAGCACAGAGCACAGAGCGGGCTCAGAGCACAGAGCGGGCACAGAGCACAGAGCGGGCACAGAGCACAGAGCACAGAGCGGGCTCAGAGCACAGAGCGGGCACAGAGCACAGAGCGGGCTCAGAGCACAGAGCGGGCACAGAGCACAGAGCGGGCTCAGAGCACAGAGCGGGCACAGAGCACAGAGCACAGAGCGGGCTCAGAGCACAGAGCGGGCACAGAGCACAGAGCACAGAGCGGGCTCAGAGCACAGAGCGGGCACAGAGCACAGAGCGGGGGAGGGCGGTCCCCCTGGACAAGGTGCAGAGCGCGCAGGGGATGCGAGGTTCGCTGTCCCCCCCCCGCCCCCCGCAGCTGGGACATCTTCCTGCTGATCGTGGCGGGCATGAAGCTGCTGCGCGCCTCCTTCTGCCACCCCGGCCGCCAGTTCGCACCGCTGGGCCTCGCCGTCCTGTTCTTCCACTTCGACTGCCGCGGGCTGTGCGACAGCTTCCTGCTGGACTTCTTCCTGGCGTCCGTCCTGTGCAGCAAGGCGAGTCCGGCCCCCCCCCCCGGGGTCCCACGCCCCCCCCGGGCCCCACGGCCCTCCCCCAGCCCCCTCCCCGGGGCCCCACGGCCCTCCCCCCACGGCCCTCCCCCAGCCCCCTCCCCGGGGCCCACGGCCCTCCCCCAGCCCCCTCCCCCGGGGCCCACGGCCCTCCCCCAGCCCCCTCCCCCGGGGCCCACGGCCCTCCCCCCGGGGCCCCACGCCCCCCCCCGGGGCCCCACGGTGCGTGTCTCACCCCCCACCCAGAGAAGAAGGGCGAGGAAGAGAGAGAGCTAGAAACATTGAAACATTGATACGAGAGAGTCATTGATTGACCCCTGCACGCCCCACACTGGGGATGGAGCCCACAACCCGGGCCTGTGCCCTTGACCGGAATCGAACCGTGACCTCCTGGTTCCTAGGTCGATGCTCAACCACTGAGCCACGCCAGCCGGGCTGTTTTAACCCACTCTTAGCGGGGGCCTTGATGTAGGACAGGGGAGGTAAGAGCGAGAGGCCAGCAGTAGTCAGCTGCCCTGTCCCATGTGTGTGCTTCCGATGACCTTGACGCCCCTGCACCCCGGCCGTCCCCTCTGAGGACTCCCTTCCTTCTGCTTTCAGCTCGGGGACCTGCTCCAGAAGCTGCAGTTCGTCCTGGCGTACGTGGCCCCGTGGCAGATGGCCTGGGGCTCCTCCTTCCACGTGTTCGCGCAGCTCTTCGCAATCCCTCGTATCCTTCCCGCTGCTGTTTTTAAAAAATATATTCTACTGATTTTTTTACAGAGAGGAAGAGAGAGGGCCAGAGAGTTAGAAACATCGATGAGAGAGAAACATCCGTCAGCTGCCTCCTGCACACTCGCCACTGGGGATGTGCCCGCAACCGAGGCGCATGCCCTTGACCGGAATCGAACCTGGGACCTTTCAGTTTGCAGGCCGACGCTCCATCCACTGAGCCACACCGGTTTCGGCTCCGCTGCTATTTTTCCCCACAGTTCCTGGATGTAAGCTCATATTATATATATATATGTGTGTGTGTGTGTGTGTGTGTATATATATATATATATATATATATATATATATATGTATATATATGTATATATATATACACACACACACACACACACATACACACCCATATTTTCTGGCGTATAAGACGGCCCCCTAATTTTACAGTTAAAACATAGGGTTAGGCCTATATTCGCTGTATAAGACTACCCCCCACTTCAAAGAAAAGACTTACTTTGTCGTTAAGATCTGCGGGTAATTTTTCTGCAGTTTTGGTCTTTTGCCCCAATTTTCGGTTGACTTTTTTTCATTTCAAAGATCGTCTTAGATGCCGGAAAATACGGGGTGTGTGTGTGTGTGTGTGTGTGTGTGTGTATTATTGATTTCAAAGAGGGAAAAAGGGAGAGAGAGAGATGGCAACATCAGTGGTGAGAGAATCGCGGATCGGCTGCCTCCTCTCTCCCCGGGTGAGAGACGGCCTGCCCATGAACTGGTCAGGACCTCCCAGGACCCTCAGACGCAGAGCCACGAGGAAAGCAGGACCGCTCGCCTTAACTAGCCCGGCTCCCAGACTCAGCCCTGCTCTTCGCCCAGACGGCGGCCACGTCCGTCCTGTCCACGCCGCTGAGCCCCTTCCTGGGCAGCGTGCTGTTCGTCACGTCCTACGTGCGGCCCGTCAAGTTCTGGGAGAAGGACTACAAGTGAGGCCCAGCGCTGCCTGCCGGGGGCGCCCTCCTGTCCGGGCGCCTCGGGGGCCTGTCTGCCGGGGGGCGGGGGGCGGGGGGCGTGGCGGGGAGCAGGGCTTAGGGCTCCTGATGGAACACAGCTTGCTGGAACCGGCCGGGTCCCGGCCCAGGTTTCCCGCCATCCCCACCGTCCACCGTCCTCCTACCGATGGGCTTTGCTTTCTTCTTTTTTGTTGTTTGTTTTGTTTTTATTGATTTTATTTAAACTTTTTTTTTTAAATATATATTATTGATTTTGTACAGAGAGGAAGGGAGAAAGACAGAGAGTTAGAAACATCGATGAGAGAGAGTCATCGATCAGCTGCCTCCTGCACACCCCCCACTGGGGATGTGCCCGCAACCAAGGTACATGCCCTTGACCGGAATCGAACCCGGGACCCTTCAGTCCCCAAGTCGACGCTCTATCCATTAAGCCAAACCGGTCCCGGCTGTTTTTATTGATTTTCCACAGAGAGGAAGGGAGAGGGAGAAAGAGTTAGAAACATCGAGGAGAGAGAATCATCGACCAGCTGCCTCCTGCACACCTCCTACTGGGGATGTGCTGGCAGCCAAGGTACATGCCCTTGACCGGAATCGAACCCAGGACCCTTCAGTCCACAGGCCGACGCTCTATCCACTGAGCCACACCGGCCAGGGCTCCCCAAGTTTCTTGCATGCCCCCCTTTCTCTGTTTCCTGGGACCCCTCTCTGCAGCATTGTCAGATTGGAGCCGTCACCCTCATACGCATGTGTCAGCACCTCCACCCACCACAGCCACGTCTGCAAACCAGCCCTGTGGCCTGCCTGCGTGCGGGGTCTCACCACGGCTCTCCCCTGTTCTGTGGCCCCCCCAGCACCAGGCGCGTGGACAACTCCAACACCAGGCTGGCCGTCCAGATGGAGAGGGACCCAGGTGAGACGTCCCCTCCCTTCTCTCTCTCTCTCTCTTTCTCTCTCTCTCTCTCTTTAAATTTATCTTATCGATTTTTTTTACAGAGAGGAAGGGAGAGGGATAGAGAGCTAGAAACACCGATGAGAGAGAGAGACATCAACCAGCTGCCTCCCTCACACTCCGTATCGGGGATGTGCCCGCAACCAAGGCACATGCCCTTGATCGGAATCGAACCTGGGACCCATCAGTCCGCAGGCCGACGCGCTTTCCCCTGAGCTATGCCAGTTTTGGCCCTTCTCTGTTATCCAGACGATTTGCTCTGTCCTGCGGACGGACGGAGCCCTCTGACCCAGCCGGGGAATGAAGCACTGCTCTTTGCCATCCCCGTGGAGACCACGCGTGTCTTGGTCGCTACGCCGACGTGGAGAGAGCGCGGTGCGGGCGGACGCGGACCGATCCCGCGCGGGACTGAATCCGTCCGTACGCGGAGTTCATTACCTCGGCAGCGAGCGCCCCTGCTCGTTCAGGCCTGTTTGTTTCTGTGCGATACACATCGCACACAGACTCCACAGCGTGGGCTCCGAGGACTCATGGTTGGCGAAGCAGCAGGCATCTGAGACATGCAGGGGCAGACACGTGGGTGTGAGGTCTGGAGCAGTGGTCGCCCGCGGGTGGCCCCTGAGGTCCGAAAGGTTGGTGACCACCGATCTAGACGCAGGCGTCCTCAAACTACGGCCCGCGGGCCACATGCGGCCCCCAGAGGAGTCTGATCCGGCCCGCCAGGTTTTTTGGGCAGTGAGCGCAGCCGAGGTGTTACAGTAGGAATTAGCAGTTCATATAGTCCGGCCCTCCAGCTCTCTGAGGGACCGTGATCTGGCCCCCACTTTAAACAGTTTGAGGACCCCTGATAGAGCTCAGACGGGGGTCCCAGCGGGAGGCACGGATCTGTAGATGGTCTGCATGGAACTCGAATCAGTCCACTTGTGTGGCTGAGACGGCCTACAGCCGGGGTCGGCAAACCGCGGCTCCCGAGCCGCAGGCGGCTCTCGGGCCCCTGGAGGGCGGCTCTTCCACGGAACACCCCGGCCTGGGCGAGTCTGTGTGGAAGACGTGGCGTCAGAAGACGTTACGTTTAAACAACGTGGCTCTCCAGAGACATGTCCGTCGTTGTGCTGTGGACACTTGGCTCTGTGGACGAGTGAGTTTGCCGACCGCTGGACTAGAACATGTGTCCAGGGGAAAACAGGCGGGTCCCAGCACTTCCACCGAGATGGCGAAGCATCAGGAAGGTCCGATTTAACCGAAACCGGTTTGGCTCAGTGGATAGCGCGTCGGCCTGCGGACCCAAAGGTCCCGGGTTCGATTCGGTCAAGGGCATGGACCTTGGTTGCGGGCACATCCCCAGTGGGGGCCATGCAGGAGGCAGATGGTCGGTGATTCTCTCTCATCGATGTTTCTCACTCTCTATCCCTCTCCTTTCCTCTCTGGGTAAAAAATAAATAAAATATATTTAAAAAAAAAAAAGGAAGGTCCGATTAGCCCAGGTCACATGGCAGCTCTGCCTTCCGGGCCAGGGGCCCGGGGACAAGCGCTCACCGGCGTCCGCCCCGTCGTCTGTCCGCAGCGAGCGATGACAACAACCTCAACTCCATCTTCTATGAGCACCTGACGCGCTCCCTGCAGGAGTCGCTCTGCGGGGACCTGGCCCTCGGCCGCTGGGGCAACTACGGCTCCGGAGACTGCTTCATCCTGGCCTCCGACTACCTCAACGCCTTCGTGCACCTCATCGAGGTCGCCAACGGCCTGGTCACCTTCCAGCTCCGCGGGCTGGAGTTCCGAGGTGAGGGGCTGCCCGGGGAGCGTGCTGCTGGGAGGCGGTGCCTCGGGCTGTCATCGCATAAAACTTAAAAAAAAATATTAAAAAAAATATATATGTTGTATTGATTTTTCACAGAGAGGGAGAGAGAGGGATAGAGTTAGAAACATGAATGAGAGAGAAACATCGACCAGCTGCCTCCTGCACACCCCCTACTGGGGACGTGCCCGCAACCAAGGTCCATGCCCTTGACCAGAATTGAACCCGGGACCCTTCAGTCCGCAGCCCGATGCTCTCTCTATCCACTGAGCCACACCGGTTTCGGCTCTCTCTCATCATGGATGCTTCTCTCTCTCTCCCCCTTTCCCTTCCTCCCTGAAATCAATAATAATAATTTTTAAAAAGGCAGGAGTGAGGTCCCTTCTCGGCAGAGGCCCCCATCCCTGTCCCCCCCACCCCCCACCCCCCACCCCCCGTCTCTGTGTAACGGGCGCCCGCCGCCCGCCAGGGACGTACTGCCAGCAGCGGGAGGTGGAGGCCATCATGGAGGGCGCCGAGGACGACGGGGGCTGCTGCTGCTGCCGGCCGGGCCACCTGCCGCACCTGCTGTCCTGCAACGCCGCCTTCCACCTGCGCTGGCTCACCTGGGAGGTCACCCGCACGCACTACGTGCTGGAGGGCTACCGCGTGCTGGACAACAACGCCGCCACCATGCTGCAGGTGTTCGACCTGCGCCGGGCGCTGGTCCGCTTCTACGTGCAGGTACCGCGGCCGGCACCGCCACCACCACCCGGGCCCGCCCCCAGGTTCTAACAGACCGTCCGCTTCTTTGTTAAATAGATTAAAAATAATAATAATAATATATATATATTTTTTTAATTTTTATTTTATTTATTTATTTATTTTTGCCAAAGCTGGTGTGGCTCAGTGGATAGAGCGTCAGCCTGCGGACTGAAGGTTCCCAGGTTCGATTCCGGTCAAGGGCATGGACCTTGGTTACGGGCACATCCCCAGTGGGGAGTGTGCAAGAGGCAGCTGATGGATGATTCTCTCTCTTTGATGTGTCTAGCTCTCTGTCCCTCTCTCTTCCTCTCTGTAAAAAGAAATCAATAAAATATATTTTAAAAAATAAATTAAAAAAATATATATATATTTTTAAAAATATATATTTTATTGATTTTTCTATAGAGAGGAAAAGAGAGGGACAGAGAGCTAGAAACATCGATAAGAGAGAAACATCCACCAGCTGCCTCCTGCACACCCCCCACTGGGGATGTGTCCGCAACCCAGGTCCATGCCCTTGACCGGAATCAAACCCGGGACCCTTCAGTTTGCAAGCCGACGCTCTATCCACTGAGCCACCGCCGGTTTCGGCTGTTCAGTAGGTTTTTATTGATGTCAGAGAGGAAGGGAGAGAGAGAGAGAGAGGGAGAAACATCCATGATGAGAGAGAGCCATGGATCGGCTACCTCCTGTGTTTATTAAAAAAAAAAAAAAACCACACACACACACACAAAAAACCAACGGTACAGAGAATAACACGGACCCCGTTCCTGTCCTGGACGGAATGCCTGCCTATATGAAGTGGAAACGGGGTATGGTTTGCAGCCAGCCGGCTTGGTCCCCTCTTCTCCAGTCCCCATCCCGGTCCCCTCGCCCGGGGAGAGCTGGGCCCACGGCCGGGGCCTCGCTGCAGGATGCTGCCGGAGCTACAGGAAGGCGTTCTGGCCTCCGGGGGTCCCAGTCCTCGCTAACTAGTCTGACTTCACCCGTGGAGGCTGTTTTGATTCCTGGGAAATGAGGGGAAGGCCGCACGATCGCCCTCTGATTTGTTTGTTGTTCCTGTCGGGGGTGTGTGATTAGGACCGACGGGGGGGAGCGGGACCAGATGTGGGCTGGAGCCAGATGTGTGGACAGACACCCTCCCCCCCGTCCCCCGTAACTGTCAGACGAGACACGGTCCCTCTGGCCACGGCCACTGAGCCTCCTTTGCTGGTAACTGGAAGCCGACCTTATTTTATATATTTATATAGATTTTATTGACTATTTTTAAAAAATATATATATTTTTATTGATTTTTACAGAGAGAAAGAGAGGGATAGAGAGTTAGAAACATCGATGGGAGAGAAACATGCATCAGCTGCCTCCTGAACACCCTGCTCTGGGGATGTGCCCGAAACCAAGGGACATGCCCTTGACTGGAATCGAACCTGGGACCCTTCCATCTGCAGGCCAACGTTTTATCCATTGAGCCACACCGGTTTCAGCAATCTTTTTTTTAATTATATTTTTTAAATTATATTTTTATTGATTTCAGAGAGGAAGGGAGAGGGAAAGAGAGCGATAAAAGCATCAATGATGAGAGAGAATCATGGATCTGCTGCCTCCTGCTCAGGCCCCACACTGGGGATCGAGCCTGCACCCCGGGCCTGTGCCCTGACTGGGAATCGAACCCTGACCTCCTGGTTCACAGGTCGATGCTCAACCACGGAGCCAGGCTGGCCAGGCGCAGCTTCACTGTTTCAGTCCGTCCAGGGCTGTGTGGCAGGGCCTGCGGGCGGTCCTTGTCCATCTGCGACCTCCTGTCCTCCTCTCCCTCCCCCCCCTCCCCGCAGGGGCCCTCAGAGAAGGCGGGGACTGTCCTCCGGGGGGTCGGTCACTAACCCCTGCAGGAAACACGGGGCCCACACGGCAGTCGCGTGTCCCCTGCTCCCCGGACGGCCATGGGCTCCGGGAGCCCCAACGACGGCTCAGGCCGGCCTCCTCTCTCCGCGCGCAGAGCATCGTCTACTACCTGGTCACGTCGCCCACGCTGCCCTCCTGGCTGGGGAGCGAGGCCCTCCGCGCTGCACTGCAGCCCTTCGCCAAGTGGCACCACATCGAGCGCGACCCCGGCGTGTTCCACGCGCACATCGACGAGGACTACGTGCCCTGCCTGCAGGGCGTCACGCGGGCCAGCTTCTGCAGCGTGCACCTCGAGTGGATCCAGCACTGCGCGCGGAGGGCGCAGGAGGTGCGTGTGCGTGTGCATGTGTGTGCGTGTGTGCGTGTGTGCATGTGGGTGGGCATGTGTGTGTGCGCGTGCATGAGTGTGCATGTGGGTGGGCGTGCGTTTGTGTATGTGTGTGCGAGTGTGTGTCTGCATGCGTGTGTGTATGTGCATGTGTGTGTGTGTTGTGTGTGCGTGTGTATGCAGGTGTGTGTGTGTGTGTGTGCAGGGGGGATCATGGCTCAACTAGGGCCGTGACTATAAGTAAAAAAAAAAAAATACAGGAAAACTGCCCAAACAGGTGTGGCTCAGTGGATAGCACGTCGGCCTGGGGACTGAAGGGTCCCGGGTTCGATTCCGGTCAAGGGCATGTGCCTTGGTTGCGGGCACATCCCCAGTGGGGAGTGTGCAGGAGGCAGCTGGTCGACGTTTCTCTCTCATCGGTTTTTCTAACTCTCTATCCCTCTCTCTTCCTCTCTGTGGAAAATCAATAAAATATGTTAAAAACAAGCAAACAAAAAAAACAAAACAGGAAAACTGCCCGCCCACATGGCTCAGGGGTTGAGCTTCGACCTGTGAACCAGGAGGTCAGGGTTTGATTCCCGGTCAGGGCACAGGCCCGGGTTTCGGGCTCCATCCCCAGGGATGGGCGTGCAGGAGGCAGCCGGTCCATGCTTCGCCGGCCCATGCTTCTCTGTCATCACGGAGGTTTCTCTCTCCCTCTCCCTTCCTCTCTGAAATCAATACTAAGTTGTTTGTTTGTTTTTAAAAAAGTGAACGAGGAAAACTGTACAGCACGTCCCTCCCCCGTCCTCTCCGGTAGACGAATAAAATAAAGGAGGAAAAGGCACTGGCCGCTGGTCAGTGCTAGCCATGGGGAGAACTCAGCAGCCGTAGCTCCGATGGGGGACCCTGCCAGTCCGTCTCCCCGTGGTCCCTGCCAGCCTCTCCCCGCCTGGAGTCCCCTTGGCGTGCCGGCCACGAAGAAAGGACTTTGGGCGGGAAGCGGTGCCCAGTGCCCCCCATCGGGGAGGCTGCATGGCCCTCCTGTGCCTCGGTCCCCTCTCCCCGCCGGGTGACGCTGTGGTGCACGCGGGCAGCGGTGACGGGAAGTAACAGCCCCTGATCTGCTCCTTCAGGCCCCGCAGACCCTGGACAGTGATGAGGACTCCCCGCTGGTGACCCTGGCCTTCGCCCTCTGCATCCTGGGCAGGAGAGCGCTGGGCACCGCCTCGCACAGCCTGGCGCTCAGGTACGCGGGGGAGCGGGGGCTGGACGGCCACCGGCATCGCTTTCACAGGCCTTTCAATCACTTTTTTATTTTATTTTATTTTAAATATATTTTATTGATTTTTCGCAGAGAGGGAGAGAGAGGGATAGAGAGTTAGAAACATCGATGAGAGAGCATCATCCATCAGCTGCCTCCTGCACACCCCCTACTGGGGATACTATGCCCGCAACCAAGGTGCATGCCCTTGACCGGAATCGAACCCGGGACCTTTCAGTCCGCAGGCCGACGCTTTATCCACTGAGCCACACCGGTTTTGGCCAAAAATCGGGACTTTAAAAAAAAACCAAAAAAAACGCCACGGGATGCAGGACAGATTGTTAAAAATCGGGACTGTCCCGCCAAAAGCGGGATGTCTGGTCACCTTATCCTACGGGCCCTGCTCTCTCTGCGTGAAAAACAGCCGGGGCCTCTCCTCTCGCAGAACAGAAGCCACACGGAGGTGCCCTGTCCCTCAGCCCCGGTCCCTGCCGCACCGCGGAGCCCCCGACCTTGCATTCACAGGGGTCCCGGCTCGCGTCCCAGCACCCCGGCCGTGATCCGCATCTCCCCGGATTCGAAGGTTCCTAGAAATGTCAGACTTCCCGTGCCCATGGCACACAGAAGGCTCCGCGCGCCTGCAGGCTGGGCTGAGCGGTTCCCCCAGGCTCCCCCGGAGCCGGCTCTCCGCGAGACCCCGGCCCAGGTGTTCCTTGCTGAGCCCGGCTTTGTTTATTTTCCGATTCAGCGCCGCGCGTTCCGGCCGCTTTCCAAGCCCGGTGTGGACGGGATCGCCCGGGTTTCAAACGGCTCCTAATACTCTGTGACAGTCCAATGGCGGCGACGAGCTCCATCTGGGAGCCATGCAGTGGTCTGGGGGGCAGGCTCGCCTTCCGGGGGACCCCACCCCTGTAAGCCCCGCCCCGCGTTCCCAGGGCAGGGGTGACCTGCAGGGGGCGGTAACCGATTGTCCACCGTGTGAGAGAGGCTGGAGCCCCCGCACCCCTGTACAGAACCCCCACCTCGGCCTCACCCTAAACAGCCACGCCCTGCATTTCATAGGTCAGAGTTCAATGCATGGGTGTGCTTGCAAAGACCTGATTCCGGATCTCAAACGGTTTCCAAGTGTCATGTTAAGAGACCCAGCAGCCGAAACCGGTGTGGCTCAGTGGATAGAGCATCTGCCTGGGAACTGAAAGGTCCCTGAGCGTCCTCCTGTGCACAGAAGGGTGGCTGGTTCGCTTCCCGGTCAGGGCACAGGCCCGGGTTGTGGGCTCCATCCCCCTGTGGGCCCTGCAGGAGGCAGGCGATGGATGTTTCTCTCTCCCATCGAGGTTTCTCTCTCTCCCTCTCTCCCTCTTCCTTCCTCTTGCTCTCCAAACCAATGAGAAAACCTTTGGAAAAAATACCGGGTGACCTGGAACACTGACTCCTGGGTTAGCCTGGCCTGGCAGCCCAGCGTGGGCACTGCTCTGCCTCGCTCGCTGGGACGCATTCAGACGTGACCGTGGTGCGGCTCTGAGGGACGGACGGGCCCTCAGAAACCCTGTCTTGCAGCCTGGACTCCTTCCTGCACGGCCTGCATGCCCTCTTCAAGGGCGACTTCCGGCTGGCCGCCCGGGACGAATGGGTGTTCGCCGACATGGACCTGCTGCAGAGGGTGCTGGCCCCGGCCATCAGGATGGCCCTCAAGCTGCACCAGGTCAGCACCCTCCTTATTTTATTTTATTTTTTAAATATATTTTATTGAGTTTTTACAGCGGGGAAGAGAGAGAGATAGAGAGTTAGAAACATCGATGAGAGAGAAGCATGGATCAGCTGCCTCCTGCACACCCCCCACTGGGGATGTGCCCGCCACCAAGGTCCATGCCCTTGACCGGAATCGAACCTGGGACCTTTCCATCTGCAGGCCGACGCTCTATCCACTGAGCCACACCAACCAGGGCCCATTCCAGATCTTTCCGGTCAAGGGCATGGACCTTGGTTGCGGGCACATCCCCAGTGGGGGGTGTGCAGGAGGCAGCTGGTCGATGTTTCTCTCTCATGGATGTTTCTAACTCTTTATCCCTCTCTCTTCCTCTCTGTAAAAAATCAATAAAATAACTAAAGCCGGTTTGGCTCAGTGGATAGAGCGTCGGCCTGCAGACTGAAAGGTCGCAGGTTCGATTCCGGTCGAGGGCATGGACCTTGGTTGCGGGCACATCCCCAGTAAGGGGTGTGCAGGAGGCGGCTGATCGATGATTCTCTCTCATTAATGTTTCTAACTCTTTATCTCCCTTCCTCTCTCTGTAAAAAAATCAATAAAATATATTTTTAAAAAATCAATAAAATATATTAAAAAAAAAAAAAAGAGCAGGGGTGAGGCCTGGGAGTGGACGTCCCCCAGCCTCGGCCCCGTCCTCACCCCCCTCCCCCCGCCCCCCCCCCCCCCCAGGACCAGTTCACCTGCCCGGACGAGTACGAGGACCCCGCGGTCCTGTTCGAGGCCATCCGGGCCTTCGAGCGCACGGTGGTCATCTGCCATGAGGGCGACCCGGCCTGGCGGGGCGCGGTGCTTGCCAACCGGGAGGAGCTGCTGACGCTGCGACACGTGGTGGACGACGGTGCCGACGAGTTCAAGGTCATCATGCTGCACCGGAGCTTCCTCAGCTTCAAGGTGATCAAGGTACCGAGCGGGGCCAGGGCCGGGCCTGGGTGCGAGAGGCGGGGGGGGAGCCGGGGGGCTGGCACGGACGTCTGAGCAGACGGAGCCTCAGAGCGGCCGCTCCCGCCCCCGGTGACCGGTGCGCAGGCCAGGGCTTCGGCAAGTCCTGGTAGAAGGGCATCTGCTTGTTGTTTTATGGTTTTTTTTAAAAAAAATATTTTATTGAATTTTTACTGAGAGGAAGGGAGAGGGTAGAGAGTTAGAAACATCCATGAGAGATAAACATCCACCAGCTGCCTCCTGCACACCTCCCACTGGGGATGTGCCCGCAACCACAGTACATGCCCTTGACCGGAATCGAACCCGGGACCTTTCAGTCCACAGGCCGACGCTCTATCCACTGAGCCACACTGGTTTTGGCATCTATTTGTTTTTAAAGCTCGGCTGGTGTGGCTCAGGGGCTGAGCGTCGGCCTAAGAGCCAGGAGGTCCCGGTTCGATTCCCGGTCAGGGCACAGGCCCGGGTTGTGGGCTGGATCCCCAGTGGGTGGCGTGCCGGAGGCAGCCGGTCCACGATTCTCTCTCATCGTGGATGCTTCTCTCCCCCCCACCCCCTCTTCCTCTAAGACCGTGGTCGGCAAACCGCGGCTCGCGAGTCGCCTGTGGCTCTTTGGCCCCCGGAGGGCGGCTCTTCCACAAAACACCACGGCCTGGGCGGGTCTGTGTGGAAGACGTGGCGTTAGGAGACGTTTACGTTTAAAAAACGTGGCTCTCCAAAGACATGTCCGTCGTTGCCCTGTTGCTAGCTGGCTCTGTGGACTCATGAGTTTGCCCACCGACCACTGCTCTAAGACGGGGGTGCGGGGAGGGGATTTCTAATCCTCTGAAATTCTGGATCTTTCCCTCAGAACGACTCCTGGGCCCGAGCACTTCCTTCTCAAGGGCTCTTCCTTGCCTAAGCTTCCAACCACTGGCCACTCCCCCAGGCAGGCCTGCCATGGTGCTTGGGCAGACAGCTCTGGCCAAAGCGGTGCATCATGGGTACCAAAGCGGTGCATCATGGGTACCAGACCGGTGCATCATGGGTACCAGACTGGTGCATCATGGGTACCAGACTGGTGCATCATGGGTACCAGACTGGTGCATCATGGGTACCAAACCAATGCATCATGAGTACCAAACTGATGCATCCTGGGTACCAACCCGGTGCATCATGGGTGCCAAACCGGTTCATCCTGGGTACCAAACCGGTGCATCCTGAATACCAAACTGGTGCATCCTGGGTACCAAACCGGTGCGTCGTGGGTACCAGACCAGAGTCCTATTCTGGCTGCAGGAGGGCCCAGGCCGGGTCCCTCCACCCGCCGCCCCCTCCTCCCGCCCGCCCCCCGCAGGTGAACAAGGAGTGCGTGCGGGGCCTGTGGGCCGGGCAGCAGCAGGAGCTCATCTTCCTGCGGAACCGCAACCCGGAGCGCGGCAGCATCCAGAACCACCGGCAGGTGCTGCGCAACCTCATCTGCTCGTCCTGCGACCAGCCGCTGGGCTACCCCATGTACGTGTCCCCGCTGACCACCTCCTACCTGGGCAGCCACGGCCAGCTGCGCGGCCTCTGGTGCGGCCCCGTCACGCTGCACGGCATCCGGGCCTGGCTCCGCACCAAGTGGCTCAGGTGGGTCCCGGCCCCGCACCGGCACGAATATCCTGGCCACGGCCACGGCCACGGCCACGGCCACGGCCACGTGTGGTCACGGACATCATCCATCCCCACGTGCCACCTGCAGAGGGCGCGTCGCCATCAGCAGTCGGCGAGCAGCTCAGCCAGGGGTTTGGGGTTCTTAGGACCCTCACCTGCCTCGGCGCTCACCTGTCAGTCAGTCTCCTCCCCTGGTTGTGCCAGTCACTGGTGGTGGTTTTTATTTTTATTTAAATATATTTTATTGATTTTGTTACAGAGAGGGAGAGAGAGCCCGAAACCTCGATGAGAGAGAATCATCCATCAGCTGCCTCCTGTACACCCCCTACCGGGGATGTGCCTGCAACCAAGGCACATGCCCTTGACCGGAATTGAACCCGGGACCTTTCAGTCCGCAGGCAGACGCTCTACCACTGAGCCACACCGGTTTCGGCTCATTTTTTTATTGATTTCAGAGAGGGAGGGAGAGGGAGACAAATCAATGATGAGAGGATCATCAACCGCTGCCTCCTGCACGCCCCCTACTGGGGACCGAGCCCGCAACCCGGACGTGTGCCCTGACCTGGAATATGATCGTGACCTCCTGGTTCCTAGGTCAACACTTGAGCACTGAGCCACGCCGGCCGGGCGGGCGGTCCCCGGTCAGCTGGAGTGAATTCCGGGAGGTTCTGTCTGAACGGGCCCGTGTCCCCCTCCGGCTCCGAGCTGAGGCTCTGGTGGAGGCTGAGGGTACCAGACTGGTGCATCCTGGGTACCAAACTAATGCATCATGAGTACCAAACCGATGCATCCTGGGTACCAACCCGGTGCATCCTGGGTGCCAACCCGGTGCATCCTGGGTACCAAACCAATGCATCATGAGTACCAAACCGATGCATCCTGGGTACCAACCCGGTGCATCCTGGGTACCAACCCGGTGCATCCTGGGTACCAAACCGGTGCATCCTGGGTACCAAACCGATGCATCCTGGGTACCAAACCGGTGCATCCTGGGTACCAAACCGGTGCATCCTGGGTACCAAACCGGTGCATCATGAGTACCAAACTGATACTTGGGGGTATGAGAGAGTCCTGGGGAGAAGGAACCCCAGTGGCTTCTCTCCGTCCCAGGATGCGCAAGGACTGCCACGCCGAGCAGCGTGCGGGCGGCAGCATCGAGGACGGGGACGGAGCGGGGGCCCCGTCCACAGGCCGCGGCAGCGCCCCGAGTGCGGGCGGCCAGGAGCAGCCAGGAAGAGAGGGGACCCACCACTGGTCACCCCGGGAGGGGGTACGGAACACAGGTGGGTGCGGCGGGACTAGGGCTGCTGAGAGAGGCCGGGGGGGGGGGGGGAGACTTTTTAAAAACGGGACTTTCCAAAAATCGAGTCTTTTTTTTTTAAAAATACATATTTTATTGATTTTTTACAGAGAGAAAGGGAGAGGGACAGAGAGCTAGAAACATCGATGAGAGAGAAACATAGACCAGCTGCCTCCTGCACACCCCCTACTGGGGATGTGCCCGCTGCCAAGGTCCATGCCCTTGACCGGAATCGAACCCGGGGACCCCTGAGTCCGCAGACCGAGGCTCTATCCACGGAGCCACACCGGTTTTGGCCCTCGGGACTTTTTTAACACGCCGCAGGACGCAGGACAAATTGTTCAAAAGTCGGGACTGTCCCGCCAAAAGCAGGATGTCTGGTCACCTTACTCAAGAGCCACAGGCGGCTCTCGGGCCCCTGGAGGGTGGCTCTTCCACAAAACACCACGGCCCGGGCGACTCTGTGTTGAAGACGTGGCGTTCGGAGATGTTTACGTTTAAAAAACGTGGCTCTCCAAAGACATGTCCATCGTGGTGCTGCTGGTATTGGGCCCTGTGGATGGATGAGTCTGCCGACCACTGAGCTAGTCGGCAGGGACTCCGCGGAGGGGCCTGGCGCCCTGAGACCCCCACACCAGGCGGCCACACTGCCCGCGGCGAGGGTCGCCCCAGGCCTGCGGGCCGGGCGGCTCCGTGGGGGTGGCCCCTTCCGTGGTTCCGTCACTGCGGGTGGGAGGCAGGGGCACCCAGGGCCTGGCACGGGGCTCAGAGACCCAGGATGAGTGACGCTGCTGGCGTATCGGGCCAGGACTCCAGGAACAAACGACTTATTTATTTTTATTTTTAAAATACATGCTATTGATTTTTATATACAGAGAGGAAGGGACAGAGAGCTAGAAACATCGACGAGAGAGAAACATCCACCAGCTGCCTCTTGCTCACCCCCTACTGGGGATGTGCCCGCAACCAAGGCACAAGCCCTTGACCGGAATCGAACCTGGGACCTTTCAGTCCGCAGGCCGACGCTCTGTCCACTGAGCCACACCGGTTTCGGCCGGAAAGGACGACTTCAGTGTCAAAGCCGGGAAAGTTCCGGCAAACAGGCGGGTCCCTTCCCCGGCTGCTGCTCCCACCCATGTCTCCCGCCGGCCTTGGGGTGTCCTGGGTCAGCCTGTGGCTCTTTGGGGGACCTCCCTGGGGCCCAGGCAGAGCAGGGAGCCCACCTCCCTGCGCTGGCAGGGACGTGGGTGCCCACCCCATGCCAACCAGAGCTGCTTTCCCTTCAAGGCCGGAGGAAGGGCCGGAGCCAGTCCGTCCAGGCCCATGGGGCGCTGAGCCCACGGCCCCCCTATCTGAGCGCGTCCGGCCCGATCCTGGAGGGCCGCCCGGCCGCCCTCCCCACGTCCTCCTCGGCCCTCGGCCTGGCCGCCCGGCCGGAGGGCAGCCGGCTCTCCCTGCGCGGCTCGGCCGCCTCCCTGCACTCGCAGCCGCCGCCCGCGGCGCCCGGGCCCCTGGGCGTGCGGGAGCGGGCCGAGGCCCTGGTGCGCTCCAGCCTGGGCTCCTCCAGCAGCTCCACCCTCAGCTTCCTGTTCGGCAAGAGAAGCTTCTCCAGCGCCCTGGTCATCTCCGGGCTCTCGGCCGCCGAGGGCGGCGCCACCAGCGACACCCAGTCCTCCAGCAGCGTCAACCTGGCGCTCGGCCCCTCGGCCCGGGCCGCCAGCCAGGCCCAGAGGGTAAGCCGTGTCCGGGGTGGAGAGGGGGGACAGGAGGCGGGGACCCTGGCTGGTGGCCCGTCCTGCTGCCCAGACCCCCTTCTTTTTTTTGGAGAGCATAAGGTCTTTCTTTCTTTATTTTTAAAAAATATATATATATTATTGATTTTTTACAGAGAGGATAGACAGTTAGAAACATCGATCAGCTGCCTCTTGCACACTCCCTACTAGGGATGTGCCCGCAACCAAGGTGCATGCCCTTGACCGGAATCGAACCTGGGACCCTTCAGTCCGCAGACCGACGCTCTATCCACTGAGCCAAACCGGTTTCGGCTTTTAAAATATATTTTATTGATATTTTACAGAGAGGAAGAGAGAGGGATAGAGAGCTAGAAATGTCGATGAGAGAGAAACATCGACCAGCTGCCTCTTGCACACCCCCCACCGGGGATGTGCCCGCAACCAAGGTCCATGCCCTTGACCGGAATCGAACCTGGGACCTTTCAGTCTCCAGGCCGACGGTCTATCCACTGAGCCAAACCGGCTTCGGCCAGACCCACTTCTTAACACCCCCCCCCCCTCAGTGACAGGTGACAGGTCAGACAAGAGGCATCTGCCCAGCTGAAGGGTGTCACAGCTCAGGCCCCCCGAGCCTGCGCGGACGTGGGGATGTCCCCCCTCACCGGCAGTGGGGGGACCAGGGGCCACCACACTGTCTTCACACCACTCCCAGCCCGAGGGACGGGGCAGGGGACAGGCAGGCACATGGCGGCACTGGGTCCCATGGCCACGGACTCCCGAGCGAGGTCGGCTCAGAGCCGAGCGGCCGCCTGCGTGTCTGCGTCCACTTTGGAGAGAGGTCCGAGGACTCCCCCACAAGGGACTGCCACTCAGGCAGGTTCCAGCCAGCTGCGGAGACCCGTGTCCGGCATCCAGCCGTGCTCTTCTGTCCTGGGCCGGGGGCACACGGGAGGCATCGGGGTACACGGGGGACATGGGGTACCATATCCGTGTCAGGCTGCAGGCTCCCGGCTCCTTCCCGGCTCCGGGCAGTTACTGCAGGTGGGTGAGGGCCCGGGGCAGTTACTGCAGGTGGGTTAGGCCCCGGGGCAGTTACTGGAGGTGCGTGAGGTCCTGGGGCAGTTACTGCAGGTGGGTGAGGCCCCGGGGCAGTTACTGCAGGTGGGTGAGGTCCCGGGGCAGTTACTGCAGGTGCGTGAGGCCCTGGGGCAGTTCCTGGAGGTGCGTGAGGTCCCAGGGCAGTTACTGGAGGTGCGTGAGGCCCCGGGGCAGTTACTGCAGGTGGGTGAGGCCCTGGGGCAGTTACTGCAGGTGGGTGAGGTTCCGGGGCAGTTACTGCAGGTGGGTGAGGTCTCGGGGCAGTTCCTGGAGGTGCGTGAGGTCCCAGGGCAGTTACTGGAGGTGCGTGAGGTCCCGGGGCAGTTACTGGAGGTGCGTGAGGCCCCGGGGCAGTTACTGCAGGTGGGTTAGGCCCCGGGGCAGTTACTGGAGGTGCATGAGGTCCTGGGGCAGTTACTGCAGGTGGGTGAGGCCCCGGGGCAGTTACTGCAGGTGGGTGAGGTCCCAGGGCAGTTACTGCAGGTGCGTGAGGCCCCGGGGCAGTTCCTGGAGGTGGGTGAGGCCCCGGGGCAGTTACTGGAGGTGCATGAGGGCCCCTCCCTCCCCTGGGGACGGCGCGGGCACCTGCATTCACCCCCACCCCTGCAGCTGGCACTCAGCAGTACGGGGCGGGCAGCCTGGCACGGGAGCTGGCAGTGGCCGTGCCGTTAGCTGAGCCGCCCGCTCCCCTCTTCTCCCCGGAAGCACTTCTCGGACCCGTGCGACCCCGCCGAGGCCGCCGAGCAGGCCCAGCTCCGCGGGCGCCCGGCCGCGGGCCCCGGCGTGCTCTGCCGGAGGGCCAGCCAGGAGGACATGGGCCTGGACGACACAGCCTCCCAGCGCAGCGCTTCGGACGAGCAGTAGGAGAGACCGGTCCCCCGCGGCTCCGCCTTCCCTTCGCCCCCTGCTGCTCCCCCAAAGCTAAAGGCAGCCAACAGTCACCCACTGAGCCCTCCCGCGGACGGGGGAGAGCTGGAGTGGACGCTCACTGGATCTCAGGTTACTGGACAGACTCTCACACGATGGGCAGAACCAGGGGGTCAGGCCTCCCCTCCCGCCACCTGCCCCACGGAGGGAACGAGGCCCAAAGCTCCAGAATTTGGATTTAAACAAAAGCCATGCACCATCCGCCGACAGTAACACACGCACACGCACGCTCATGCAAACGCACACGCATGCACGCCACCAAGAAAGAGCACCTAGCGGCCACCGCACCCTGCCCGCCACCAGCCCAGGCGCGGAAGTCACGTCCACGCACACGCTCACTGCTCTGTAGTGTTCACGCTGATGTTAGTGCGTGTGAACCGGTGACATGCATGCAGCCGTGTCCACGGCCCCGTGTGACAGCCACATCCCCGCAGGAGAGCCGGCCCGGTCCTTAGGGGCGCACGCTTGTTCCCCAGGCCAAGAAGTCCCACCCCCCAGGGCCCGGGCCACCTGCACAAGCCTATTTTTTTTGGAATTAAAGGGTTTATATATTGACTGCTGCTTCCAGTTCTTTGTGTTCTGTTCCTGCTGCTGGAGGGGCCGGTCCCACGCCCTGAGGGACCCCTCACTCACCCGGGACCCTCCCTTCGGAAGAGCAATCCTTAGGAACACCTAGAGCGAAAGGAGTCCTAGGCAGTTCCTCAAGGACCCCGGCCAGGTTCGTAGCTAATGCGAACGGCCATAAAAAGAAAATCACAGAAATTCCTAGAGGGGGTGAAAAAAGAGGAACAACTGTAATAATCTGAACAATAAAGATTTATTAAATTAAATAAAAAAGCAACAACAAAAAAATTCCTAGATCGTCACCAGAAATCACCTAAAGCCATGGAGCTGAATCACACCAGTGCACCGGCCCCTCCAGGGCCGTGACCCCCTGATTCCGGGGATCAGGGTCTCCTCCACGCTGGCTGCAGGCAGTCCCTCCCTCTCCACCGCCCTCTGACAGCCCGGCCGGGCGCGGGGGCCAAGCGGGGGTAATGGGGGGTCCCTTCCACAGTGGCCACAGCCGCCCCAAATGTAACGACCCATCTCCCCGTTTTCGGGGCCGGAAGCGAGGCACAGAACGGGTTAAGGACCTGGCCCAGGTGGAGCCCCAGTCTGACCCCTGACCCCGCCCACGCCCCCCGAGCCCCAAGGTGCCCCCTCCACGCCAAGCGCCCCTCCACACAAGGACCCCGTGTCTATAGACATCACGACCATTTTTATTTCATAAATAAGCAAACAGGGAAACAATAAGAGGTGGTGGTGGTGGTGGGGGGGAAGGGCCTGAAATGCTCTTCTTTCAGAATAATCCTTTTTAACAATTAGATGGCTCCTCCCTTCCGGCTACACCAGGTGCACCTGGGATTCTCCAGGGTGAAGTGCAGAACGGCTGAGGCGGCACCCCCTCCCCGCCACCATCTCCCCCTCACATTCACGGCCTCACCGGGTGGGTGGCTCCCATCTGGTGTGGGGACCTTCCTCATCTCGGAATGCACCCCAATCAGACGCTCGGCTGCAGAGGAAATAAACAGCCTGCAGGCCAGCCCTCGGAACCCCTAATGGGAACCAGCTGCAGGCTTTCCCGGGCGCCCACGGGGGCTCAGTGCAGGGCGGGTGGGCAGGGCTGCTGACCAGGCGGGCGGGCCCATCCAGGGCTCACTTCCCGCCGCTCTGCACGCTCCTCACAATGTCCGGCAAGAGGTGGTTCCTGTTTTCCTTGGTGACCTGCAGGAGGGAGCAGGAGGGCTCAGAGTCCTAGATCGCCACCGATTTTTCTTTCCCCAAAACCGGGACTGTTTTTAAAACGCCGCGGGACGCGGGACAGATTGTTAGAAATCGGGACTGTCCCGCCAAAAGCGGGGCATCTGGTCACCTTATCCGAGAGCTACAAGGGGGGGCATTCAAAGCCGCGGATCCGGGTCGTCGCCCACTCCCTCCGTCTGCGGTCACCGGGGGCGCGTATACTCACGCTGACCACCTGCACGTCCGCCCGGCTCCGGATCTCCTCCACGAAGGCCAGCGGCTTCCCCTTGGGCACCGGGATGGTGCCCAGGACCACGGTGCCCGGGGCGGCCAGGGCCTGCCGCACGGCCTGCAGGAAGGGCCGGCTGAAGAGCTCCATCTTCCCCACCTCGTCGATGACGCACACCCTCGGGCCTGCACCTGCCTGGGAGGACGGACGGACGGACGGATGGACGGACGGTCACCGGGACCAGAGGCCCACGAAGCAGGCCCCTCCCCGGTCGCTCGGCAATGTCCCTCTGCCCTGGAGACCGTTCCGCCCGGAAAACCCAGCTCCTGCCCAGCCTGTTCTTGGGGCGATCTGTCCTCCCCCGGGACAGTCCAGGGGCAGCCACGCTGTGTGTTTGTAAACACCCGGGACGGGGGCAGGGTCCAGGGCCAGCAGTTCCCACCATGCACCGCCACAGACGGGGGTGGGGGTTGGGGGGTGGGGGCTCAGGAGCAGAACCCACACTCACGTCCAAGACCGGAAGCGCCAGCTGCTCAAAGGAGGTCAGGTCCACCACGTACTGCCCGACCCGGCACTCCCGTGTTCCTGGCGGGGGCGCCGCCCTGGGGAGACAGGGAGTCTGGGCTGCCCCACTGACCTCTGACCTTCCCATGAGGCGACGTCATCCTCACACCCACCCACAGCCCTGGCCAGGCGGCTCAGGGATGGGAGCATTAGAGATGAGAGCATCGTCCTGTCCATCAGAAGGGCGGGGGTTCAATTCCTGGTCGGGGCACACACACCTAGGCTTTTTCAGGGTTGACCCCTGGTCAGGGTGCGTCCAGGAGGCAACCGATCGATGTTTTTTGTCTCTTTCTCTCTCTCTCTCTCTCTCAAAACAAACAAGCAGCTGAAACCGGTGTGGCTCAGTGGATAGAGCGTCGTCTTGGGGACTGAAGGGTCCCGGGTTCGATTCCGGTCAAGGGCATGTACCTTGGTTGCGGGCATATCCCCAGTGGGGGTGTGTGCAGGAGGCAGCTGATGGATGACTCTCTCTCTCATCGATGTTTCTAACTCTCTATCTCTCTCCCTTCCGCTCTGTACAAAATCAATAAAATATATTTAAAAAAAAAAAAAAAAACTAGAAAAAAAACACACAGCAGACGTGTGCAGAGCTGAGAGCAGGGCTACCGCTGAGTGAGCCCACCATCAGCCACGGGCCTGGCGGGACCACCCCTCACTCCGGGGAGCTGCCACCCCGACCAGCCCCCGGAGGCATCGTGGGAAACTAACGAGACTAGGACCACGCGTGAGAGGGGCTCACCAGCCCATGGAATGAGCTCCGAGGAGGGGGACACGGCATTTTTAGACTGTTTTTCAGGCGAGGACTTCACCCTGTTTTCTGCCGCTAACAGAGCAGCAGCCTGCACGCTCATCCGTCCACAGAGCCAAGTGTCCACAGCACCACGATGGACATGTCTCCGGAGAGCCGCATTGTGTAAACGTAAACGTCGTCTTCTGACGCCACGTCTTCCACACAGACTCGCCCGGGCCGTGGTGTTTTGTGGAAGAGCCGCCCTCCGGGGGCCCGAGAGCCGCTGGTCTGCCGACCGCGGCTCTAAGATCGCCAAGGGCCTGAGGCTCTTCAAGGCAGAACAGAGCGCTGCGGCTCAGCCCGGTGCCCAGGGAGAAAGCAACACCCGGGAAAACAAGTCTCAGTACCCCACTCTGGACAGAGGCCCCCGCAGGCCGGACAGCGTGACCACGTCGAATCCTATGCGCCTCCCGCCCTGCCGGACTTCCTGCGTGTAGAAGCCATCCACGGGCACCCCCGAGGACTTCAACGCCTCGCTGGCCTTCTGGATCAGAGTGGTTTTCCCAACGCCTGAGGGGGGAGAGGAAAAAGCCCCACTGAGTCCCCGGCTGTCAGGCCTGCCCTGTGCGCGGGCAGTGGGGGCTCCTGGGACCAGAGACAGCCTGCAAGGTGGGCCCAGGAGGGACAGCTGACCAGGGGGGGAATGCTAGATGCCGAGGAGACCCGCAGCGATGCTCACAGGATCCGTAGAAAGTTCCCTCTCCGAGAAGGGAGATGGCCAGCTGCTCCCAGGCCGGCACCCCCACCCACGCACCCCCCCCACCCCACACGCCCCTGTGCACACTCCCCCACCCACCCCTCCCCGTGCACCCAACCGCCTCCCTGTGCACCCACAGGTCTCTCTGTGCACCCACGCGCCTCTCTGTGCACCCACGAGCCTCTCCGTGCACCCACAGGTCTCTCCGTGCACCCACGCGCCTCTCTGTGCACCCACGCGCCTCTCTGTGCACCCACAGGCCTCTCTGTGCACCCACACGCCTCCCTGTGCACCCACGCGCCTCCCTGTGCACCCACGCGCCTCCCTGGGCACCCACCCGCCTCTCTGTGCACCCACGCGTCTCTCTGTGCACCCACGCGCCTCTCTGTGCACCCACGCGTCTCTCTGTGCACCCACACGCCTCTCTGTGCACCCACCCGCCTTTCTGTGCACCCACGCGTCTCTCTGTGCACCCACAGATCTCTCTGTGCACCCACGCGCCTCCCTGGGCACCCACCCGCCTCTCTGTGCACCCACCCGCCTCTCTGTGCACCCACGCGCCCCCATGCTTACACCATGCCCCGCGCGCCCACTCGCGCACCCCTCGGCCTCCGGGAGGCGGAGACTAGCGGGGTTACCTGGGGGCCCCGTGAGGAACACGTGCCGGCCCATCCGGTGCGCCGGAGAGGGGGACCCGGCCGGGATCGGGGTCACAGACACGCAGGCCGGGAAAGGGAAACAGACGCGGCCTAAGCCCCGCCCACCACGCGCGCAGGCCCCGCCCCGCCGGCCGGAAGCCCCGCCCCTAGCCGCGCAGGCGCACTCCGCGCCCTCCACTCGCTCCCGGGCCGCGGTCTCTCTGCGCATGCGTCCTCCGCCCTGGCTCGGGGCGCGCGGGCGGGGCTGGGGGCGCGGGCCGGTGCCCGAGGCGCGGTGCCAGGCTCGCGTGGCGTGGGGGCATTTGCAAGGAGACGTGCGTGGGGGTTAGTTACTCCACCGAGTGCTACCTTGGGATGGCGTCTGCGGGCTGCAGATCCCAACGCTGGGGGTGCGGTCCCCCGGGCTGGGGGTTCGATTCCCCGCAGGAGGCGTGGGTCCTGGCAGCTTCCTGGGGGGATGGCCTGGCCCAGGCTTCCCGCCGCTGCCCCGCGTTGGCAGCCGCAGCTGCAAAAGCGAGATGACCTGGCTGCACCTGCTCCGAGTCAGAGTAATTGGCCCTGGCGAGTCCTGGGCATCTGGCTCTCCTTTGTTCCAAACTCCCTGACAAGCCCATCCGGCCTTGGCTCACCACCCGTGACCCAGGAGGTCACGGTTCCATTCCCGGTCAGGGCACAGGCCCGGGTTTCGGGCTCCATCCCGAGAGTGGGGCGTGCAGGAGGCAGCTGATCCAAGATTCTCTCTCCTCATGGATGTTTCTCTCTCTCCCCCTCTCCCTCCCTTCCTCTCTGAAGTCCATAAAAGTACATTCAATAACAACAACACCCCAGCCAAGAGGGGAGGGAGTCTGGGGACTGGATGAAGAAGATGCTGGGATTATGAAGTACAGAATGGCAGTGACAAAACAGCCATGGGGATGCACTAATAAAAGTACAACCTAGGGAATATAGCCAGGAATCTATCTATCTATAATCTATCTACCTACCTATCTATCTATCTATCTATCTATCTATCTATCTATCTATAAAAGCACCAAGTGAGCGACCAGTCGCTATGATGCATGCTGCGACAACCAACTGGCCTGATGGGGACCCCCACTGCCCCCCCCCAATCTCCCCCACCCTTCCCCGGCCCATCCAGCCCCCGATCACCCCTCTCCCACCCCCACTCCTGTCTGGGGCAGGACTGGCCAGCCAACTGCCCATGAACCCTCCCCCCGTCTCCCCACCAACCGGGCCCCTATCAGGGTGGGGTCTGGCATAAATTCATAACTGTGTATGGTGCCAGGTGCAATCACTTCATAAGGTATATACTAGTAGATGTCTTAACCACTACGCTGTCTGAAACGGGTATAATATTGAGTGTCACCTGCCAGTGCAAAATAAAAAACGGCCAAAAAACAAGCTGGCGATTCCTACCGTCCACGGGGGTCGAGAACGCTCACTAGTCAGACTCCCCTCCTCAGCTCTGCTCTGCAGACCAGTCCCCCCTCTTTCTGGCCTACAGGCCCGGAGCGCGGACAAACGTGAGACCCCACTGGGGGATTTCCCCGTGCAAAGAATTAAGTGGCTCCCCCACCCCCCAGGTAGCCCCTCAGCATGGCGGGTTTGCCTGCAGCCTCTCTCAGCCTCACATGGGGAGCGAGTGCCCTGTGATCCATCATTCTCCATCTTGGCCGGGAAAGCAATTTCAGCGAGAGCGCCACTTAATTGGTTTGTGCCCACACGGGACCGCCGGGGCTTGCCGCGCACTCCGGTCAGGTGGCCTCTGTCTCCGGCTGTTTAAAAAGGAATCATCTACAGTACAAACATCTTGTCCCATTCCTGCAACATTTATAAGGCATCGCTGGCAATGCGGGGCCCTGGGTTCGTCGTCCACCTCTGTACACACTGCAACCAACAGCAGCTGACGTGCCAGGCCTGTGTGGCTCAGTGGTGAGTGTTGACCTAGGAATCAGGAGGTCATGGGTTCGATTCCCGGTCAGGGAACATGCTCGGGCTGCAGGCTGGAACCCCAGTGTGGGGCGTGCAGGAGGCAGCTGATCCAAGATTCTCATCATCGATGTTTCTATCTTTCTCTCCCTCTCTGAAATAAATAAAAATATATTTTAAAAAGAACAAGGTGCTGAGGCCGGTTTGGCTCAGTGGATGGAGTGTCAGCCTGCAGACTGAAGGGTCCCAGGTTTGATTCTGGTCGAGGGCATGTGCCTTGGTTGAGGGCACGTCCCCTGTGGGGGGTGTGCAAGAGGCTGCTGATGGATAGTTCTCTCTCATCGATGTTTCTGACTCTCTGTCCTCTCTCTTACTCTCTGTTAAAAATCAATAAGATAGCCAAAACCAGAATGGTTCAGTGGATAGAGCGTCGGCCTAATGACTGAAAAGTCCCGGGTTCAATTCCGGTCAAGGGCATGGACCTTGGTTGCAGGCACATCCCCAGTAGGAGGTATGCAGGAGGCAGCTGATGGATGTTTCTCTCTCATCGATGTTTCTGACTCTCTGTCCCTCTCTCTTCCTCTCTGCAAAAAATCAATAAAATATATATTTTTAAAAATCAATAAAATATATATATTTTTAAATTCAATAAAATATATATATATATATATATATATATATATATATATTTTTTTTTTTTTTAAAAGAACAAGGCTCTGAAGATAAGCTTCCTGAGTTGGAATCCCAGCTCCACTTTAAAATAAAATAAAATAAAGTAAAATATAAAATAAAATAAAAAAATAAAAGTGGAGAAAACACAGGGAAGGAGGGGCGGAGGTGGACATTACCCGGGGCTCAGGAATCCATCACTGCCAGTTTCTTTCAACGGACTTCTCAGGCTCCTTTCATGCCAAGGAAAAGGGCAGAAACAGTCACTTTTGCTCTAAATCTCTGTGTTCTCTCGGACAGGATGTCCGCTCCCAAGTCCCCTTCCCATTGTCGGGGCGGACTTCAGTGCCTCTGGCCAGGGTGGAGGGGCCGGAGGTCGCGGGTTTCAGAGCCTCCGTGTTGGCTTCCACGGATATTAATTCCTGGCAAGCTGCCCGTGAACTCCAGGCTCCTTAGAAAACCAAGGAGCTTCTGGCAACTTCCTCGCCGTCTCCTATGGTCATTTAAACACAAACAAGCGTATAATTCCTGCTTCCCTTGCTTTATTTAAAACCTGTTTTTGTTCAATCGCAAATTGGGAGTGTGCACCTTTTGCCCCGCCTGCTAGGTCTCACAAACAACTGGCACTGCTTTAAGTTTAATTATTAGGAACAAAGGAAATGCGTTAAGTTGGGGAGAAAATGAATCTTCGCTTTCTTCTTCTCTCTCAAAGGGGAGCTACTGTCCTCCCCCTCTGCTGAATGAGCTTCCCTCACAGCCCTGGGACTTGCTTTGCCAACCCCCTAAGTCTTTGGGGTTTGGGGAGACGTTTTAAACGGATAGATAACTTTTATAAAGTGTTTGTGTGTTTTTTTGTTTTTTGTTTTTTTTTAATCTAGCTCAGGATGGCCTCCATTTTGAAACCAGAAGCTTCTGATACCGGTTCAGAAGCGGAGTCCATTGTGTGTTGGGTTCAACGTTCAATGCTTTGCAGGTATCATCTCATTTAATTAACAAAAGAGCACTACTATATATATTTATATTTATATTAGAGGCCCAGTGCATGAATTCGTGATGGGTGGGGTCTGGCCAGCCTGGCCAGGAGGAGGGGACATAGGCGGGTGGCAGGCCTGCCTGCTGGTCGAACTCCTGGTCGAGGGGACCATGTGCCCATGAGCCTTTTATTCTATAGGATAGACACCGAGTGGCCAGATGATGATGCGTTCAGAGATCGTCACCATCTGGCCGCTCCGTGTATATTTACGATAATAGTAACAAACCAGCCGGACTAGATGGTCTTTGGCTTCTTCCAGGGCTGATGGTCTGTGGCTGTGAGAAGCATCCTGCCTGTGGGCAAACACGGCCGAGCCAGGAAGGAGCACGTCCAGCCGCAGGTGCCGCCTGTGCCTGAATCCCCAAGGACCCATCCTCCCCTCCAGCTCTCACCTCCGGGCCTTGCAAACAACACAACCGCCATCCAGCCACGTCCCTTTCCGTGGCTCCTGTGGACTCAATCTAGTTCTGGGTCCCAAAGGCGCCGTCAACGGCAACAGCACGGCAGGCGGCTGAACGTGAAGAGAAATCGCCCAGAAAACACGCAGGAGGCACCCCTCGCACCGCGAAAATGGGCCTGAAGGGAAGCATTTGGCACAACCGGCTGAGTGCAGAGCTAATTGCTGCTCCTGGAACTCCAGCCGCGCTGCTCTGGCTGCTCAACACGAGCGAACATCTTCCCTTTGTCCCCGTGTTTCCTGACACGTTTGCCATTTGTTCTCTCTCTCTTTCTCTCTTTTTAAGAAATATATTTATTGATTTTTTTACAGAGAGGAAGGGGAAGAGATAGTGAGTTAGAAACACCCATCAGCTGCCTCCTGCACACCCCCCACTGGGGATGTGGCCGCAACCAAGGCACATGCCCTTGACCGGAATCGAACCCGGGACCCTTCCGTCCGCAGGCCCACGCTCTATCCACTGAGCCACACTGGTTAGGGCATAAAATAAGGTGTTTCCATGCATAAGAACTGCATTGTGGGTAGTTAGAAAGAAGCAGAGGACTTCCTAGCCAGAGGCTGGGGGCCACTATCTCCTGGCCCCTTGACATATCAAGATTTGCAAGCTCTCCTTTATACATAAGCACACTGAGTGGCCAGATGATGGTGCGTTCAGAGATCATAATAATCTGGCCACTAAATCGAATATATATATTCGATTCCAGAGAGGAAGGGAGAGGGAGCAATAGAAACATCTAGGATGAGAGAGAATCCTGATCCTCTCCCTCAGTGCTGCCTTCATTCCCCAGACAGAGGCGACTGCAGACAGGTCCCTGACCCTCTGTAGCCTGGGGGTCTGGAAAGGGAGCCCTGAATCCCTTTTAGTTCTAATATGCATGCATTTATCATGTCCTGACCTCGCACCTAAACTGCATGGGAACTGCGGGGCTGAGGACATGACCAAAGCAAAAAAATAAAAATAAAAATAAAAAAACATGCTTTCTCATGAGCCTCGGTATGAACAGAAGCAATTGAAGGAGGACAAGTCCGGAC